GAGAAAAAGAGAAGAAAGTGAGAAAGCATGCTGCCAGATCTGGGACCCAAACTGTGGTCTGCCAGGTGGGAGTCCAGTGCTTCAGCCACCATGCTGGCCCCTCTCCATCTATCTTTTAAGAAAGGATCAAGCAATATCAGATTTAAATGGCAATTTTATTTGAAGAAGAGTTGCCTCATAGTGACTAAAATATTAATCCATATATAGTTTGTCAGAAGGGTTATGGAATTTTCTTAATGAGAAGAAATATTTAATAATAAAACATTCATTTATCAAGACATTATTTGTTTGTTTTACTTTTAGATAAATGAACCATATTACTTATTATTTCTATAATTTCTTTCCTGTATGAAATCCTAGTTTAAATTTAATGGTCTATCTGAAAGTAAGCTTCTTGGTTGGTGGACTATTGAAAGTTGTGGAGACAATATCAGAAGTATTCAGTATTAAAGTTTAGTACAATTTATTGATGTTTTGAGAAATTACAATGTTTAGATGAAATATGAGTTCTGTGTATTATTTTATACCATATCATATTTATAACTTCCATATTATACTGACACATAATTTATGTGATCAGATAACAGCTGATTATCCTTTAAATGTGTAGTATTCTATTATTTCATCCTATTATTTTCTTAGAGACTTGTCTTCATTTTTTAAGAAGTCAGTAAAGGGATCAGCAGATGGCATAATGGTTAAGACACTGGACTCCCATGTAGTCAACCATGGTTTGAGTCCCTGATGCGGCAGCTTAAAAACTCACACAGGGCATACGTGCCCAAAATCCCAAGAGGAGACTAGAGGAGAAGGGATTGCAGTGTGGCCATCACCCCATGGGGTGATTTCTTACTTTCTCTCTGTCACTCTGTCTCTCTGGCAAGCCCTATACCAAAAACTTTTCTAGAAAAAGAAAAAAAAAAGTCTGTAAAATAAAAGTGCTTATAAAATATTTCATTCATAAAATGTAAGTTTAATATAGTAAATTATTTTAATTTGTGACTTAACTATATTGTTGTAATATTTTACAGTCATAATTACTGAAGAATATGCAAATGAAAAAGAAATGATAACATCTAGTCTCTCAAAGTCTAGCAACTTCGTAGGTGTGGTTTTCAAAGATTTTATGTCCTATGAACTTCGTTTTTTCCCTGATATGATCCCAGTATCTTCTGTTTATATGGATTCAAGAGGTAAATAGCTCTAAATAATTATCAGTACCAACCGAATGCTTGTCTTTGCTGTCCCTTACTTCAGATGCAGAATTTATAGGGTGTAATATTGACATTTTCAACTATACTCATTTATTCAGATAGGAAAACTGTCAAGTATAACATGAAGATATTTATGTATATGTAAGTGTCTATGTCTGTCTACATCTACATATATACATAAAATTCATGTACCATTTAAATTTTAATACAGTTAAATATATCAGTTACAATAATATAAAGCAGAATTATATCTTGAGTTATAGGACTTTCTAAATCTATGTTTTTTTCCCTCCATATAATTGTGTCTACTTATGGTACAGCTCTTTAACAATCTCAAGGTCTTCTACCATTGAATTTTGTTAGTTTTACACTTAAAGTGTGGAAAACAGCTTTTAGTGGTTAAAAACCTATGGAGAGACATTATCAACCACATTTACTGAATAACATTAAAGATAATGTGCTAAGTACTAAATTTGTGACTTGATTCTAAAAAACTTTTACAAAAAAATTATTTTTCTGTTTTCTTAACCTGGACTTCTCTTATATCTGGAAGTGCCTTGAAACTAAGTCATTATAGATGAATTACCTTAAAACAAGAAAGTGACTTATTTTAAATAATTTTGTTTATAATTAATTTTCTCTTTACATTTCTATTTATTTTTCAGGACCCTTATTCACATAATTGCTTTATTTAGAAATTTCAAGTATAAAGTCAGGAATCTTATAGATGTTGTTTGCCTTCAAAGGGCAATACCTCATTTTCTTTGGTCCTAAAGGGATCAATAGATTGTATTACTATGGTAACCATCCGTATGTTATCTATAGAAGAAAGTACTTATATGTTGCATAAAATTTTATGTTGCATATGTTTTTTCCTACAGCTGGCTGTTCAAAATCATGTGAGGCTGCTCAGTACTGGTCCTCAGGGTTCACAGTGTTACAAGCATCCATAGATGCTGCCATTATACAGGTAAATATGATGAAAACAAAAACCAAGCAAGTTCTAATATTTCTTAATTTATTATAATAGGATTTTATTTGACTGTATGATATATTTTAACTTTTAAGAAGAGAAATGAAGTATTTCTGATGTAATAGTTTTTGAAACCCACTTTTTTTTTTTTTTTTTTAGAGATTTTTGCTATAGGGTGCATGTGCTCACTGGAGACACTGAGAGTGGCAGACAGAAAGCAAGAAATCACTCCTCAGGGGGAATGACCACGCTGCAATTCCTTCTCCATTCTCCTCTTGGGATCTTGGGCATGCACGTACAATAGCCCAGTGTGAGTTTTAAGGCACCAGGTCCAGGACTCAAAGTGCAGTCGACTACATGGGAGTCCATCTGCTGATCCCCAAACCCACTTTTATTTGATAGTTTCCAAACATAAAATTCAGTTTTCTTTATATCTTTATTGATGATAGTAATATTTCTTTGTATTTATAGACAGATTTCTCATTGAATACAAATATCTTGGTTTAAAGAAAGTGAAGATCTTTTATTATTTTAATCATAATAGATTTTTTTTTTATTTAACAAGCATTTACCATGCATTTGCCTGATACTATTTCTAAGTCGTGTTCTCATAGTTAATCTGTAACAACCTTATGAAATTGATGCTATTATTATCATCCTTTTTTATACAGGAAACTAAGACATGGATATTAAATGATTTTCCAAAACCTAATTAATCAGTGGCAAAGTAGAGTTTCAAACCTTTGGCTTTTTGACTCCTAAATTTGTGCCTTTAGTAACTATACTCTGCTATCATTAAGATTGTGTATAAATATTGAAATTAGGGTCAAAAGACAAGCTTAGATCTGATCCAGTGTTTTGCATTTCAGCAGAAAAACCTAGCCATGAAATTTATTATTTTTAAAAGTTTATTTATTTCTTCTATGAGAGCGAGACAGAGAGACAAAATGAGAGTAAGAGATAGAGAGAGAACACCCCAAGCCAGGGTCTGGAGACTCTAGCATCTACTCCCAGTTTCACCAGCCTTGGATCACGGGCACACTCACGTGTATAGCACTCAGGGCGGTCTCCAGCTGGGTCAGCCTCACAGTGCATCACATTTACCACTGTGCCACTCTCTGGCCTGAGAATTTATTTTTAAATTCCTTAATTTTGTCTCTGGGACAAGCCATAAGACGATATTTCCTTAGTTAGAATTAAAACTATTCAAATTATTGGGTTATTGGAAAAGTCATGACATATTTTTTCTGTATTTGTCTATGCAAAATGCATCTTGACTTTTCCAATGACCCAATAATTGTATCTCATTTCTCCATATTCCTGGTAGATCTGTGTCTTTTTACCTATTTGCTTTTTCTATAATTGAGTTTACTGTACTTCAAAATATTGTAATTTTAAAAGTGCACATCCCTCTCAAAAAACATTTTTTTTAAAAGGGACCAGCAGTTGGTGTAATGGCTATGTTGTTGGACTCCCATGTAGTCGATCACAGTTCAGGTCCCAGACCTGGTGGCTTAAACTCATGCCTGGTGTGTGTGTGTGTGCCCAAAATCCCGAGAGGAGAATGGAGGAGAAGGGATTGTGGCATGACCATCTGCCCTGGGGGCTGATTTCTCACTTTCTGTCTCTCTTTATCTTTCTGGTGAGCGCACGAGCCCTATAGCAAAAACCTCTGCACACACACACACACACACACACACACACACACACACAAAGTGTACATCACCAGTTTTCTGTACTAAAATGTATGTTTGAATTTGTGTAGAACTGGATTACAAACCTGAGCAAGAGTCTTATCTTTATTAGTTTTTAGACTACTATATATTAAATTGACTACAATAATATTATTTTACTTCACAGGGTTATTGTAAGAACTAAATGAAATAATGTATGTAAAGTTGTCTTATAAACTCTTGCAATAAAGAGTGAATGTTTTAGGGCTATGTAATATTACACAAATTCAATAGTATAGACATTTGAGGTAAAGACAGAGAAATACAGCATGATGTTAAAGCATTTCTTTGTGTTTCGGCCAAAGACTTTAGCTATCCATAGCCCAAACCATACTGGCCTAACAGGCAGGACAGGTGTCATTTCAGGCATTTAGTCATATATTAGAAATACCATGTGGTATGAGTACTCTCATTCTCGCTACATATGTTGGTTTTAGAGGATTTTAAAGCAGTGGAAGGACATGCTATTTAAAAGGACACTTTTTAAAAATGGTCATAGGAATGATGGCTCTAAGAATCATTCCTAAATCAGTTTCGAAGATGTATAATTTTGTTAAGATGCACTTAATTGTCCACATGAGCTGATAATTGGGTGCTTTTATTTTCTTTGGCAAATTATTTAGTACAAAACTATACACCCACCCATCTCAGGCTTTAGCATTTTGGTATACATCCCAAATGAATTAAAAGCAGTATTCTACTCTGTATCATGATAGTGGGACGACTCACTTTATTTCAAATGCGTAGCTTTTTCAGCATTGTATTTGTACTGTGTTATTGACTAAACTTGAGGGTATGATTGAAGCATGTTGTTAGGGGCTATTATCAGAACTAAATTAATTTAATGTATTTACATTTTCTAATTGTAGTTGAAGACCAATGTTTCTATTTGGAAAGAGCTGGAGTCAACTAAAGCTGTTATTATGGGAGAAACTGCTGTTATAGAAATAGATACCTTTCCCCGAGGAGTAATTTTAATATACTTAGTTATAGCATTTTCACCTTTTGGATACTTTTTGGCAATTCATATTGTAGCAGAAAAAGAAAAAAAGATAAAAGAATTTTTAAAGATAATGGGACTTCATGACACTGCCTTTTGGTATGTTTTTAAAAGTTTATTATTTAATATAACTAACTGATATATTAAATATCATTGCAGATCTTCAGAATTGTAACTTTGTAATCAGTATTTATCAAACTTGATGAAATACTGATCCTGTTTTCTTACAATGATTGCCTTTGTCTTAGAATTTGAGATCAGTGAACAAGCTTTAGAAAGTAATTGTTTTCTTTTAATATAAAGAGAGAAATGTGGAAAGTTTATATTGACAATACATGTCTAAATTTTATTTCACATTTTGTTTGGACCCATGGGACATACACCACATATTTCACTTATATTTTAGTGTGTAGAAGATATGAGATCCTAGGAAGAGAGTAATTACTTGCTTGTAACAGTCCTCCCCTAAAATCATAGCTTGTACATAATATTAAACATGTAGTTAATTGTCCAGTGCCATGGCCTAGTTGTGAAGGGAGCTGGATCCCACATGGCCTATGCAGTTCGAGTCATAGACCTGGCGGCTTGAAAAATGTGCGGGGTGTGCGTGCATGTTTAAGAAGGGAAATAATTTGTAGAGAAAGAAATGAAAATGAAAAGTAAGCCCTAATGAATAAGCATTTTTATGTAATAAAAATTTTATAAAAGCATGCTTTCTTTTCTTTCCATTTCTTTTTGTTGTTGTTGTTGTTGATAGAGGGCATGTGTGCTTCCAGAGAGAAGATGAAGAGGGAAAAGGAGAGGGAGAAAGCATTCCCATATAGAGTGTGGCCAGGCTGAAATTCCTTCTCCATTTCCTCATCCTGCTGGGATGTTGGACACACATATACACACACTGTGTGTGTTTTTCATGCTGCCAAATCTGGGACTTGAACTGCATAGTTAATCATCTGGAATTTGTTTCCCTTAACAACCAGGCCATGAGCCAGCCTTAGAGACATGCATTTTTATAAATAATTTCATATGTATATATTCCGTTCTCCTTGCTATGTAATGTGAACATTTGCTTTAAGCATATTTTGGGAATAATAATACTATGTATGTGAGCTGCTACTATATAGTCAGTTTTATAAAGTTTTATTCTACTTAGCTCAATGCAGCAGTTAATTATAACATTTTATATAATGAAGTTATTATGTATAACATTGTATTTTTTTCTGTTATTTTAATAAGATTTTTGGTTTGCTTTGAATTAGAAAAATATTTGGTAGGAGAACAGTAGTAGGATGGATTTATGCTGTTTAATTTCTAAGTACCTCAGTTTTGCTTCTGAAAAATGATGTATTCAGTTTTGGTAGTCTGGCTATCTTTTACCCTAATTTGGTGATTTTATGACATCATATATTGATCTGCTAACTTGAAAAAATGAAATGAAATGAAATAATGTAGCAGTGTCATTGAACTCTGATTGGAAGAGAAGTCTTGAATTAAATGGTGAATTGTTGCTTTGGGCACCAGCAAATGGCATAATGGTTATGTCATTGGACTCTAATGTAGTTGATCACAGTTCGAGTCCAGGACCCAGCTACGGAAAACTCAGGCCAGCCACATGTACATGCTTCCCCAGGTTCCTGAGAGGAGAATGGAGAAGAGACTGCAGCTTGACCATCTGTCTGGGAAGTGACTTCTCACTTTCTATCTCTCTCTCCAGCAAGCACAAGTAGCCTGTAGCAAAAATCTCTCAAAAAATTGTTGATTTTGTTGATCTCACATTGCATATGGGTAGTAATTGTATTATTGATTAGTGAGATAGCCTTCTTTGTAATAACAAAAGCCAACGGAAATACACTTGTAGCATGCGCTATAAAGAATATCATTATTCTAACTTATTAAACTCCTTTTTAAAAAAAAATAAAAAGAGGTTTTTGCTTTGTTTTGAGAGACAGACAGACAGACACAGTGAAAGGGAAAGTGAGAAACCACCCCCAGGAGGGATGGCCATGCCACAATCTCCTCTTCTTCATTCTCCTCTGGGATCTTGGGCATGCACACACATGTGCCTGGCCTGAGTTTCAAGCCTCTGGGTCCAGGGCTTGAATGCGATCGGCCCTGCGGGAGTTCAGTGATGTAATTGGTATACCATCTGCTGGTCCCTAAACTCCTGTTTTTTGTTTGTTTGTTTGTCTTGTTTTTGAGAGATTTTTGTTATAGAGCATATGTACTCGCCAGAGAGACAGAGAGACAGAAAGCGAAAAATAACCTTCCCCAGGGGGATGACCACACTGAAATCCCTTTTCCTTCATTCTTCCGAGATTTTGGGCATACATACACACACACATGTGTCTGGCATGAGTTTTAAGCCACCGGGCCTGGGACTTCAACCACAGTGGACTATATGGGAGTCCAGTGACATAACTATTATGCCATCTGCTGATCCCTAAACTCCTGTATTTTACGAACATCAGAGGTGTAGTGCACTATCAAACTTTTGGGACTACTAGATTTAAAGCAATTACAAATTACTATTAAAATGTAAACCTTTTTATATTCTTTAAAATATAACTCATAATTTTATCTTTATATCATATTACACTTTTATCTATAACTTAACCAATACTATATTTTTACTACTTGTAAGAGTATTTTTGATACATGCATATACACAAAAAAAGAAAGATTGTGTACTTTTAGGAGCAAAGCAATTAAAATAATATGAAGTTTTATTTAAAGTGATTCTTTAACTGTGAAAGCCTTTGCATTTGACTCTGAGTGTATCTGTATTCTCATTGTAGGCTTTCCTGGGTTCTTCTGTATACAAGTTTGATTTTTCTTATGTCCCTCCTTATGGCAGTTATTGCAACAGCTTCTTTGTTATTTCCTCAAAGTAGCAGCTTTGTGATATTTCTACTTTTTTTCCTTTATGGATTATCATCTGTAAGTATTTTATCTTGACATGGGAATAAAGAATTGCGGAAATATTTGATTACGTAGCAGTCTTTTAAATTTTCCCATTAAAGATAGATTGTTACTAAGTTACTGATAAATGATTTAAATGACATAGTATTATTGCACCTCTTTAATTTTAGAAAAGTTATAGAATAATTTTAGGTTTAAAATTATTTCCATATTTTGTATTTCACATATGATTCCTGAGTCTCTGCATTACTCTCACTCTAGAATCAGGTATAATTAAGTACTGGACTTTTTTTCTTTTTTTTTCTTTGTCTTCATAAAATCCTGACTGTTTAAAGTTAAATGTGTGCTATAAGATGATAATTTTTTAAGACCTATTTTTAAATTTAACTCTTTAGGAGTTTTGATATTCATTTGTTAAATGCCTTAATGCTGGGTTTTAATGCCCAGCCTTTGTTTCCCATGGTTCCTGTGCCCACTCTGACTGGTTTATGAGTTCATCCTGTACCAGTTACATTTTGTTTGGGTTGTTGGAAAAATCATGACGTATTTTTCAATGCAAAAAAAGTCATGACTTTTCTGATAACCCAATATTACTACCACTGCCCCTGCTCTGTAAAATGATAAGTTTTACATAACTCATAAACTTCCACATAGGATCACTTGAATTTTTAAACTGGTTTTCTATCTTTCCCCAACACTCCTCACCCCCAGAGGTTTTTGCCTTAGGGCACATATGCTCAGTGGAAAGAAAGAGAGACAGAGACAGTGAGGGAAAGTGAGAACTCACCCCCACCCCCTTCCCGGGGATGGCCATGCTGCAGTCTCTTCTCCGTCTCCTCTTGGGGGTCTTGAGCATGGATACATACTTGCTCGGCATGAGTTTCAAGCCACGAATCTGGGACTTGAACTGCTGTCAGTCTTGTGGGAATCCAGTGACCTAACTGCCAAGCCATCTGCTGGCCCCAGGTTTTGTATCTTACTAACATAAGTAGTTTGAAAAAGATGAGTCATGAAAAGCTTCTTGACTTACTGTTTTGTTCCTATATTTTATGCAAATGACTGCAGAAACGCATGACTGTTTATGGTTTCTGAAGTGTAGAGGTGGTTATGTTTGCCTAAAATATAAAATACCTTTTAAAATATTTATCAGTTTAAATTTTAAAAATATGTTATCACTGGGGCCACAGGTGATGTGGTGGTTAAGGCATTGGACTCCTCCTATATGGCTGACCATGGTTCAAGTTCCAGACCGGACAGCTTGCTCTCTCACTTTCTCTTTTTCTCTCTCTGTCTCTGGTCAAATTAAAATATAATAATAATAAGTTCAATTAAATAAATAATTCTTTTAAAATGTATATTTGTATCACTATTTGTTGAAAATGAAGTACCTTACCATAGAATTTAGAAATTTTAATTGTTGGGAGTTGTGGCATGATGGTTGAGGCACTGAATTCCCACATGGCTAACCGTGGTTCAAGTCCTAGACCTGGTGGCTTACTTTCTCACTTTCCTCTTTCTTGCTTTTCGCTCTGTCCCTCTCTGGTCAAATAAAATAAATAAATAAATAAATAAATAAATAAATAAAATTTTTTTTTTGGAGAGGTTTTTTTCACTATAGGGCATGTGCGCTCGCCAGACAGACAGAGAGAGACATAGAGACAGAAAGCAAGAAATCACCCGCCAAGGGGGATGGTCACGCCGCAATCCCTTCTCCTCCATTCTCCTCTTGGGATCTTGGGCATGCACGCACACGTGCCTGGCGTGAGTTTTAAGCCACCGGGTCCGGGACGTGAACCGCGGTCAACTACATGGGAGTCCAGCGACATAGCCATTATGCTAACTGCTGGTTCCCAATAAAATAATTTTAAAAATAAAGAAATTGTAATTGTATTTTAATGCACACATTTTCTAATTAAATAGACCTTTCACAAGTGAAATTTAATTTTGTTTTCATACCAGTGTATATAAATGATGCTTTAACCTTAGTGTTTATATTTTATAGGTATTTTTTGCTTTAATGTTGACACCTCTTTTTAAAAAATCAAAACATGTGGGAATAGTTGAATTTTTTGTCACTGTGGCTTTTGGATTTGTCGGCCTTTTGATAGTTCTCATGGAAAATTTTCCCAAGTCATTAGTGTGGCTCTTCAGTCCTTTCTGTCAGTGTACTTTCTTGATCGGTATTGCACAGGTAGGTAATTTATTAATCTTGCGTTCACTAAATATTTATTTTTCTTTTCAGTTCCATGTAGCATCTTATACTACCATGAATGCTACCTTTGATTTACAAAAAGAAAGTTAGTTTAAAATTTCAAGATGAGAAATAAATTTAAGTACTGGAGTGCTTTTTAAAATCTTGTTTCATTTGTATTTTCTACAATTCTTAGGTTTTTGCCTTAGGGCATATGTACTTGCCAGAGAGAGACAGTGAGAAAGAGAGTGAGAAATCACCCCTCAAGGAGATGGCCATGCCACAGTCTCATCTTCTCTTGAGATTTCAAACAGACATACACATGTGCCCTGTGTGAATTTCAAGCTGCGAGGTCTGGGACTCAGATTGCGGTTAGCCATGTGGAAGTTCAGGGCCTTAACCGCCATGCTACCTGCTGCTGGCCACTCTTTTCTTCAACATTAAGTTTTTGGTTAAATGTATTTTATTTTTTAATTTTTCACCTTTTGTTTTAGTGTATCTTAGAAATCTGTTTCATTGAAGTAACTGTTACTGTTAGAAGTCATTGGTTTATGTGTCAAGTAATCTGGATTGCTCCGTTGCTACCATTTGTTAATTTATCTCAGAAGAGTACCTTGCCGAAGGCTGTGTGTAGACTAACAAATTTATTGTGAGTTTAGTAGTAAAATAGCAGGGCTGGTGGATTTTACTGGTCTAAGCTAAACTTGATTTTTTTATTAGGTGCTATAAGACTAGTTAGGTTCTAAGTGAAAAAATCTTATAAGAAAATGCTTTATACAATAGAGCATAAATTTGAAGGAAAAAACATAACTACTTAATATAAGAGATTACTCATGTTGTTTGAATAGAACATTTTGACTTGTCAGACTAAATTAAATAGATTGTTTATGAAAGGCAAATATCATATGTTTTTACCTCTTAGAGGAAGATATAGAAGATCTGATTATATAGAAGTAGAGAGTGAAACAGTGTCTACCCGTAGCTGAGAAAGAGAAGGTTGGGGAGAATAGGGAGAACTTGGTTAACAGATACAGGAGTGCTAGTAGATTAAAGAAATAAATGCTCGAACACAGCAGAGAAACTACAGCTGGTGACAGTTCAGTGTATACTTCAAAATAGCTAGAGGATTTTGTAGGTTCACAGTACAAATAAGGGTAAGTGTTTGAGATAATGGATATATTTAATACCTTGATTTGATCACTACACATTGTGTACATACATTGAAAAACTAAATGGTACCCATAAAAATATAAAATATAAACTTATATCCATTAAAAATTTATTATAGAAGTATCTTCTCATGTACTAGTAATCTATAATAGATTGCTTATAAATATTAAGTAAAATAAATTTTAATGATATGAGCCCTGAGAGCTATTTTTTTTCCCATAAAGTTTGAAAGTTCACTGAGTCTCCCTTCTCTTTGGAATGTACAATTATAGATTTATAAGTTTTTGTTTTGAGTGGGAAGGTCTTTTAACTCATCTTCATTTCACTGATAAAGGGACTGAAATCCAAAGTAGTATAATTCAATTTTTTTTTCACTTAATGGTAGAGCCAGGACCTAAATGAAGCCTTTAGTACATTTCTCTTTCTAATCTAATTAATTTAATGGTTATGTTATTTAATCAAAATACTTTCTCTGTTTTCAATATTGAAAAGATGCTTACCAAAATTTTATTCTCTGATACTTAGTTTGACTTCCATGTGGATCATAACCCTTTTGATTGCATTAGTTACTGATTATAATCACACTTTTATTATTTCATTTGCTATCTATTACCTTAGAATTAATTGCCCCCAAGAGTAGATACATCATAGGTTAAGAAGCACAGCATTAAAACATGATTGAAAGGAAGCATGATAAACTTATATATTGGTAAAGTCTTTATTGTTTTACATAAAAATTCAACTTACTAATTTGATAGACTGTTTATTTTGTTACATAACCCAGTTTGATACTGTCACTCTGGATAGAATGAATCACTCTAAGCAGTGTTCGCTTTTGCTAGTTTTTGTAATCTTATATAATAAAGTTGGTGTTTTTATTTTTCAGGTCATGCATCTAGAAGATCTTAATGAAGGTGCTTTATTTTCTAATTTGACCGAAGGCCCATATCCTCTAATTATTACTATTATCTTGCTAGCACTTAATAGTGTATTCTATGTCCTCGTAGCTATCTATCTTGATCAAGTCATTCCAGGTATGTAGGTGGGTTTGGGATTTTACTTTAAAAATTTTTAGTTTTCTTATCCACGTAGGATCAACCTTATTGTCTTTTTCCTTAGCCAGAATATCATAAGTCATAGTCACAGTAAAACTTTTAAATTTTATTTTAGTTAAATATATTTTGTACATAAGGCTTACGCCACAGGTGAACATAGGAGATTGTGTAAAAAGAGAACAGTTTGCTTTGAAAGCCTTTGATCCTATTTCTGTCCTGTTGCTGTGTTCACTGAATTCTGCAATGTCTTCTCCGTTAACTAGTCACTTAGTTCTAAGTACTGCCTATTTTCAAAGACTGTCTAAGATGATACCCATTCAAGTCTTTGGCCTGCTTAGCCTCTTGCATCGTGTTCTAGCCATTCAGTACATATTTGTCCCCACAAAGAAGTAACTTCCTGTAGCACAAAAAAATGTACTTTACTAACCTTTACATCCTCATGAACTCTCAGCCACACTGAATTTATTTACAGACTATCGTTATTTGTTGGTAAACTGATGTCTCATGCACTATTGACAGTATTTTATCTATACCTAAAATTTATTATTTATTATTTTTAATTGACAAGTGACAATTATATATGTGTATTGCGTATAACATAATGTTTTAAAATATGTGTACATCGGGGAAGGGCACCTAAATTTTAGATCTAATTTATGGTATATTTCAAACACCACCATATAATTTAGAAACTAGTTTTCAGAAATAATTTGTTATAATAACACAGCATTTTAATCTTTATATTTCAGGGGAATTTGGCTTACGAAGATCATCTTTTTATTTCCTGAAGCTGTCATATTGGTCAAAGAGCAAAAGAAATTATAAGGAGTTATCAGAGGGCAATGTCAATGGAAGTATTAGTTTTAGTGAAATTATTGAGCCCGTTTCTTCAGAATTTATAGGAAAAGAAGCCATAAGGTATGATTCAGTCATTGGCAATCTAGGCATTCGAACTAATGATGGAAACTGTCAGGTTTAAATTTTGTCTCTTAAATATGTATGTAAATATGATCTCTTAAATTTGGTAGACTCTTTATGATTTTAAAACATAATATTAAAAAAGACTAACTAATTTTATATTCTGATTTTCTTTTGAGACCGTTTAGAATAAGGTTGCTGCTAGGGTTGAAATTTTATTTATCAGTAGAAAATTTTAAAAGTAATAAAACCCAGTGTTTACACAATTAAGCTGATTAGAGCTTTTCCCATTATGCAGATTGAAATAGAATAATTATTATTTTATCAGGTAGTATTGTCTTACACAACATATTAAGTTATTCTCTGTTAATTTCATACCTCTAGGGTTTTGTGACATAGCCAGATTATCACCTTAATATTTTTTTTCTTTTTCTTTTTTTCTTTCTTTTGTTTTGGCTACAGGGTGCATGCACTCGCCAGAAAGACAGAGACAGAGAGACAGAAAGTGAGAAATCACCCCCCAGGGGGGATGGCCATGCTGCAATCCCTTCTCTTCCGTTCTCCTCTCGGGATCTTGGGCACACACGCACACGCGCCGGGCGTGGTTTAAGCCCCCAGGTACAGGACTTGAACTGCGGTCGACTACATGGGAGTCCAGTGACATAGCCATTAGGCTAACTACTGGTCACAATTATCACTCACCTTAATTTTTAAGAACTAAAGAGTTGGCATAATGTCTGTGTCACTGGACTTCCATGTAGTTGACAACGGTTCAAGTCCCGAACCCGGTGGCTTGAACTCACACCGGGGGCATATGCATGCGTGCCCAAGATCCTGAGAGGAGAATGGAGGAGAAGGGATTGTGGTGTGGCTATCCCCCTGGGTGGTGATTTTGCGCTGTCTCTGTCTGTCTCTGTCTTTCTGGCGATCGCAAGCACCCTATAGCAAAAACCTCTCAAAAAAACAAAACAAAGCAAAACAAAGAAATCCATTACTTTTCCTTACTAGATCAGTCAATACAAAATTAAAATTAAAAAATGAGAAAGAAAAGAAAAATAAGAAAAGTAAAGTATATGTGTTTTTAAACTTAAGAAATATGTTTAAAACCAAGGGAGAGTCAAGGTATTTAACATGTGGGACCAGAAGATGGTATAATGGTTATGTAACTGGACTACCATGTAGTTGACCGTGGTTCAAGTCCAGGACCTAGCAAATTAAAGAACTCATGCTGGGAATGTGTGCATGCCTGCACAAAATCCCTTAAGGAGAATGAAGGAGAAGGGATTGCGGCCTGGCCATCTCCCCTGGGGGGTGATTTCGCGCTCTCTGTCTCTCTGTTTCCCTCTGTCTCTCTGGCAAGCACACAAGCCCTGTAGCAAAATTCTCTCTCTCAAGAGAAAACCATTACTTAGCATGTAATTAGTAGGCCAGTGGTCTGCCTTTTCAAGTCTACAATTTAAATTGATTAAGAAAATCAGTAATTAAAAAAAAATCATGCAAAGAATTGAAGTGGAATGAGAGAATCACTTTACATATTTATAGACAATCTGAAATGTGTTCTGACATGAAATGGCACCTGGTTTCTGGCTCTTTTAGATAATAAAACACATTTGATTAATCAGAAATGAAAAGACTTTACAAGATTGCTTGAATCAAATGCTTCAGTTTTTTTAGATCTTTGGCTTGGCATAAAAAATGAATGAATGACACTTAAAATAAGAGGAATACTGTCCTTTTCTCCTATAGCGTTTTAAACATAATTTTATAGTTACTGTTAAACTTCTTTGGTTCACTGTCTTAGTAAGGAGGTACTTTATTATTATTTCTGTTAAGTGTGACAGCTTTGATAAAAATACCATACATGTAAACACTTTTTTTACATGTATTATACTTAAACATTTGCTTTAAATATGTAAAAATAGAAAACTGTGTTTTTCAGAATCATTGGTATTCAGAAGACACATAGAAAGAAAGGTGAAAATGTGGAGGCTTTGAGAAGTAAGTAGTGTTCCTAGTATTCAGTCTGTAGCATTAAAATACAAATGAAAATCAGTTTGCATAGTTTTTGAGAAATGTAAACTTCTCTGTCATAATTTTGTCTTATCTTTAGAGATTTTTTTATGTGATTAGTATTCATAAATAAAACTAACAACAATGAAATTATAAGAGCAAAAAGTGGGGCAGCTGGTTTTATGGTGGTTAAGGTAGCTAGATCCCACTTGCCAACTGTGCAGTTTGAGTCCAGGATGGGGTGCTTTGGGAAATATTCTGTGTGCCTGCATCTCCACATTCTGAAAGGAGGGAGAAATGGAGAAGGTATTTTGGCGTGACCATTCCCCATGAGGGAGTGCTTTTTTATTTTTTTTTACTTTCTATCTCTCTCTCTCTCTGTCTCTTTGATAAGTCAGTATAAGTCCCCTGGGAAATTAAAACACAAAATCCCCTAAAAGCATAAAGTAATATTTATTAAGATGAAAACATTTATCTATTTAAACATATCTATGTCCTTTTTAATTTTATTATTATATATGTATACATACTTAGTTACTTTTTAAAAATTCTTTTTGGCCTTGGCACTACTGATGTTTTGGGCCTGAAAATTCTTTATTTGGGGAACTGTCCTGAGAATTGTAGAATGTTTAGCAGTATGTCAGTATGGTAGTCAGGGTTCTTCAGGACCAACAGAACACACACACGCGCACACACACACACACACACACACACACACCATAGCAATTGTGAGCCTGGGGCAGGGGCAGTTGGGGGAGATTTATTATAAGGAATTGGTTTATGCTATGTATTGTGGCACCTGGCAAGTCCAAATTCTATAGGGCAGTGAAAACTTAGGCAAGAGTTGAAGTTGTAGTCACCAGTTCAAAATTCACAGAATAGGTCAGCAGGCTGGACACTCATCACAGGAATCTACATTATATTTTTTGAGGCAGAATTCCTTTTCCTCTCAGAAACTTCAGATTTTTTTCTTTTTTCTTTTTTTTTTTTTTCCCCTATAGGGCGTGTGTGCTCACCAGACAGACAGAGAGAGACAAAGAGACAGAAAGCGAGAAATCACCCCCCAGGGGGTTGGCCACGCCGCAATCCCTTCTCCTCCATTCTCCTCTCAGGATCTTGGGCACACACGCACACGTGCCCAGCGTGAGTTTTAAGCCACCGGGTCCGGGACATGAACCGTGGTCAACTACATGGGAGTCCAGCGACAAAGCCATTACGCTAACTGCTGGTCCCCAGATTTTTTTTCTTAAGGCCTTCAACTAATTAGATGATGTTTACCTCTGAGTATTATCAGGAGAAATCTCCTTTACTTAAAGTCAGCTGATTATTAATGTAAATGATATATACAAAATACCTTTACAGCAACTTCTGTACTGTTTGACCAGACAGTTGGGTAAATGTAGCCTAGTCAGGTTGACACATAAAGTTAATCATTACAAATGTCTCAGAAATGTCTCTAGGCCAGATACCTTTGGGAGGCAAAATCTTAATACTCCCCCTCCCCACTCCACACTTGAGAACCAGTGCCCTGGCATGTGTTGACTTTTCTAGATGCCTTTATTTTTTTATTTTTCATATTATTAAGGTCTATAGGATCTGTAGTGATTTATTCCCGATGTTTATTATTTGAATATTTTTAAGCTGGTATTTATTAGTTTAAAATATCTTTTTTATTTTATTTTTTAAAATTTTTTGCCTTAGGGCCTCTGGTGTGCTCACCAGAGAGAGAGAAAGACTGAGACAATGAGAGGGAAATTGAGAAATCGCCCAAGGGGATTGCCATGCTGCAGTCCTTTTCCTTTCGGGATCTTGGACAGACACACATGCGCCTGGTGTGATTTTTCAAGCCACCAGGTCTGGGACTTGAACTGTGGTTGGCCATGTGGGAGTCCAGCAATATAACCCCTATGCCATCTGTTGACCTGAAGTTTAAAATATATTTTCACAGAACCAACTTTTGACTTTGTTGACCCTCTCTACTTTTATTGGTTTTCTATTTCCTGAATATTTGCTCTTCATGGGTAAGAAGTCTCAAAATGTTTAAATATGAGTTCTACCCAAATTTAAGTAGATTCAAACTCAATCAGAATCCTATTATGCTGGACCAGCTAGTGATGTTGTGTTTTATGTGGCTAGATCCCATATAGTTGATTATGCAGTTCCAATCCCAGATTTGGTAGCTTAAAAGACTAGACACATGTATGTGCATGCCCAAAGTCCCACGCAGAGAATGGCAGAGAAGGGATTGCAACATGGCCAACCCCCTGGAGGGTGCTTTCTCAGTTTCCCTGTCTCCATCTTTCTCTGGCAAACACACACGCTCTCTAGCAAAAGAAAAAATCCTATTGGGCTTTTTGTGTGTGTGTGTGTGTGTGTGGTTGAATTGGTCAAACTGATTTTAACATTTATCTGAAAATACAGATGACTCAGAATAGCAAAAACAACTTCAAAAAAGAAAACAAAATTATAAGAGTAGTATTACATTGTTTTAGGACTTCACAAAAATGTCACAGTAATCAAGACAGTGTAGTTTGGCATGAAAATAATTTTAAAAAATAGTAAATGAAATAGAACAAAGTAACTAAAGAAATAGACCTGTATATATATGGATAACTGATTTTCAACAAAGGCATAAAGCATTTACTAAGAAATAGAATTTTTAACTAATATAGAAACAATTACAGAAAAAGTGAACTTTGATTTATACTAGGCACCACATATAAATGTAACAGAAAATGAATCACACACATAAGTGTAAATCCTAAAACAGTAAATCTCAAGGATAAAAAGGAGGAGAAATTCTATGAGAACTTGGGTTAGACAAAAGTTTTTAAATGTAGTCCTGAAAACAAACCATATGGATATTAACATCATTACTCACTAGGGCAATGTAGATTACAACCATAATGAGATATCACTACATACCTATTAAAATTATTAAAACTAAAAAGACTGATATAATGAATGTTTGGTGAGTTGTATTATAGAAGAACTGGAACTCTCAGACACTGCTGGAGGGAATGTAGAATTGTACAGCTACTTTGGAGAACAGTTTGGCAGTTTGTGAAAATGTTCAACACATACTTGCTATGTGATCCAGCCATTCTAATTCTAGATATTTAGCCAATACAAATGAAAGCATGTATTTATTTATTAATGTTTATTACAGATTTATATGGAATAACCAAAAACTGGAAACAAGATGAATGGATAAATTAAATGTGATATGTCTATACAATGGAATGCTATTCAGCAGTAAAAAGTAATGGACTGTCCATATACTATAATATGGATGAATCTCAAAATAGTTCTGTTGAGTTATTTTGATGTGAAGCTATGTAAGAGAGATGATCTCCAAAGCTTGAAGGGACTGAAAGACCAAAGATTGAGGCAGACAAGTCTAGCATGTTACTTAAGAGTTTAACAAGGGCCAGCCAGATGGCAGGTAGTTAAGGAGACTGGATCCCACATGGCCAGCTCTGTGTTTTGAGCCCCAGACCTGGCTGCTTAATAAAACACCCCAGATCTGTGTGCGTTTGTGCCCTAAATCCCAGGAAGAAAAAAGAAGGGAATGTGGCCATCCTCCCAAGGGAGTGATTTCTCACTTTCCCTCTCTGTCTCTCTCCAGCAAGCGTGCAGGCGCTATAACAAAAACAAAAAACAAGCAAAAAATAATTTGATAGGGAGTTTATAGACAGAAACAAGGTATTGGGTGGCCACAAGATAAGTAGATATTCATGCCTTTCTCCCCCAAAGTATATGCTTAAATAGCCAGTAAAGTGGTGAAGAGAGTTGTATATAAGAGGAATGGGGAAGATCATAGGGAGGCATTTGAGGGATGTATAGAGCAATGCAACATATTAATATTGTAGCTTAACTATAATCAGAGACGTACCACTCCTTTGATAGGGATTATAGGCTTGCTTGTTGTAATGGTTTAGGCTACATTTTAACCTGGGGAGTGTAGCCTAGGAGCTTGGGGTCTTGCCAATGTCAGGTTGGTAGAGATGGCAGATTAGCTTCAAGATGGTGTCACTTTGGTTTTGCCATATGAGTGAAAGAAGCCAGACTTAAAGAGTACATTTGTATAAGTCCATTTATACAAAGTTACAGAAATGCGAAGTATAATGAAAGAAAGCAGGTAAGTTGGTGGAGAGTGGATGAGAAGAGGCAGAGTGAAGAATTGTCAAAGGGGCACAAGGAACTTTTTGTGGGAGAAGAATATGTTTATTAACTTGATAGTCATGATGCTTTTACAGTTGTAAACCTGTCAAAGCTCATCAAATTATTTACGTATGTACAGTTTATTGTATGTCAACCATATGTTAACTATGTTTAAAAATTAAATCAAGTGGTCATGTTTGCTTTAGCTTCTGTATTCTATTCTCTTCCCCTGGCCCATTTACCTCTATCTATCTGCTGTTTTAACTACGGTAGCTTTCTAGTTAGTCTTGTTAACTTTCTGAAGAATTACTTGTTTTATTTATTATTACCATTATTATTTTTCAAGCTTGCTATAGAATATTTGTGCTCACCAATGAGACAGAGAGGAGAAAGAGAAAGGAAAAGTGAGAAAGCAAGCCACAAGGTCTGGGACTCAAACTGTGGTCAGCTGTATGGGAGTACAGAGCCTTAACCACCATGCATACTACCTGCTGGGCTGGGTCTTGATAACTTTAAATATTATATTTAAGTTCTTTATATTTCCATGTCAGTTTTAGAATCAGCTTGTTTATGTCCACCAGTGTATTTATTTTGGTATGTTATTTATTCTCAAGGACTTTGTTAATTTCATTTTAATTTCCAAAATTGATTTTTGCAGGCTTTTCATAAATATCTATATCTGTGGAATTATGTCCCCCTTTTCATTGTATATTTAGTAATTTATAATGTATTTGGGGTTTAGTGGGTCTTACAGTTTGTGAATTAATTTAATTAATCTTTCCAGGAATCAACTTTGGACTTTGTTGATTTTCTCTGTCATAAGCTTTGCATTTTATTGATTTACATCACTGTCTTTGAGTTTAATTTGTGCAGCTTTTTCTAGCTTCTTGATATGTGATCAGATCTATTTCTACACTGTAAATGACACTAAGGTTTAATGACATAAAGCAACCAGTATTTTACTATTCATAAAGAGTCTCTGGTTTAGCTGGAAAGTTCTACAGTCACAGTGTGGATGATCTGGCAGTGAATTTGTGCTTTACTACGGCCTCATGTAATTGTCTGTTAATAGGCTGATTCCTCTAGTGTGCTGTAGGTACAGCTGTTTGCATCTGTTCCACATGGTTTCTCATCTTCCAGCAATTCAGTATTTTTTTATTATTATGTAGTTTCCCACTATCCTTCTAGCTTTTTAGTTATGTAGTCTATTTTTATGTAGTTGCCTGAGATGTTATACATCTTTGCCTTTTAATTGACTTGTAAGCCAGTGCTTTACTATTTTTCAGCCCTATTTAGACCCAAGTCTGGACAAAGACTTGGACAAAGACAAAGACTTACTGACCCAAATGAAAACTCCTTGCCACAGTTCTTGCTTGGCAACCCATTTTTTGAAACCCCTCCCTTGGGAGCTCTGTTTTTCCTTCCCCTGTCTTCAGTAGACTTTCCGTTTTGCTATACTTACAAAAAAATCCTTTCAAGTATTTACCTAGCCATTTCTGTACTATTAGTTAATTTCTAGTGTTTTGTTTACATGTGTGTGTGTGTGTGAGAGAGAGAGACAGAGACAGAGATAGAGAGACACATAACAGAGAGAGAGTATTTAACATACCTTTAAATACTTTTGGTGAAAAAAATTATTTGTTTTAAAGTTGGTGTAGAAAACTCTGAAAGTGTGTGTACTCCCTCCTAAAATCTTACTATATGAAAAAAATAAATAAAAGTTTATTTTTATTTTCTTAAAATTTATGCCATTGACTATAATAAGAAAGCTATTTAACCTGCTATACAGTATGCTGGTGACTTAAAAAATATCTTTAACTTTATTACCTTACTTTAGAATTGCTCAAGTATTATGAGTTATCTTATATAGCTGAACAGAAATAAAAATCACATTTGAGTCTTTTTTTTCCCCTGAATTAGATTTGTCTTTTGACATCTATGAGGGTCAGATAACTGCCTTACTTGGCCACAGTGGGACAGGAAAAAGTACATTGATGAACATTCTTTGTGGATTGTGCCCACCTTCTGATGGTAAGTTTTCTGACTTAGGGAAATAATCTCTTACTTCCTTTTATTTCATAGTGTGATTAACTAAAGGATCACGATATAATTATGCCTAAATATACTGAAGGATTTTTGTCAATGATTTGGGACCAAACTTCTGTCCTGTAAAGGTATTTTCTCCTTTTTCAGAAAAACGTTTCTCTGTTTTGACTATACATTTGGTTGTTTATCAAATAGAAAATAGCAATGATTCCATTATACTTACTATTAGTAATAGGCTCTATTTTGTATACATTTACATCACATATTATACACACACATGTATGTTGTATCTGTGTTTTCGTGCTCATTCTTCATTTATAAGGAAGGGTAAGTCAGTAATTAAAAATTAAATCAGACCTATAGACTTATTTCAGATTGAAAAAATAAATACAGATTTCTAAATATGCATCAGTAGTTTAAAAGGAATGAGTGATAAATGTCAACACTGTCTCCTAAAATAGAATTTTAAGAGCAGTAACTAAAAAAAACATAATTTTGATGTATTATTATCCTATCAGTTACATTTCAAAATAGTGCCCAATATTTCCACAAGAAGCAAATAGAGTGGCAATACATTACTACAGTAAAATATTTTACTTTACAAAAGGGCCAAATTATATTGAGTCTGCATTTTAACCTTTTAAATATAATTTTTAAAATTAGTTTGATTTTGTTATTTATCCTTATTAATGTCACTCTTTAGTAGCAAGTGTAATACTTTACATTTATAAAAGACTTAATGATTTTTGTTACAATTCTCTATCTGTTATTTCATTGTTTTAATAGTTCTTACATAAAATATATTAGTATTTGGCTTATAGATGAGAAAAACTGGAATTCTGAGAGATTAAGCAATTTGCTTAAGATCATACATCATATCCTACCTAGCAAGGATAAAACCTTTAGTTCTTTGATCTTTTCACTATTACATAATGTCTGGAAATGAAGGAAAGTTATTCTGGAATATAAATGTAAATAATGCACCAATAGATGTTTATGTTTAATGTATTAAGCTTCTAGTACCTTTTTTCACTATTTAATATGACTAGAAGTGAAAGAAAATAAGATTGAAATTTAAGTGGAAGTATATCACCAATAAAATGGAAATTGAGGGTGCATTATATCTTCTGAATTTGTAATTAATTATTATCTCGTGTTTCTATTACAACCAAAGTCTATTACAGGCAAATAACTAAGGTATTAGGATACAAAAACAAGTATACATTGTTAGATCCTTAAGGTACTTAATATAAACTTAAATATACATTTTGTTTTTAGGATTTGCTTCTATATATGGATACAGAGTCTCAGAAATAGATGAAATGTTTGAAGCAAGAAAAATGATTGGCATTTGTCCACAGTTAGATATACACTTTGATGTTTTGACAGTAGAAGAAAATTTATCAATTTTGGCTTCAATCAGAGGAATACCAGCCAACAATATAATTCAAGAAGTATGTTACTTATATAAAAATCTTTACTTTTATTTCCTATAAATTAATTACCTTTTGTAATAACTTATAAAGTAAAATTATGCTTGAATATCTACATTTTTTGCTCTGAATCGGTAAATAGAAATTCATTAGAAAGAATTAGAATTTGAAATACAGTGTTTTGTTGTTTTTTAAGAGAGAGGATTTTGCTATAGGGTGTGTTGGCTCTCTGGAGAGACAGAGATAGAGAAAGTGAGAAATCACCCCCCTGCCCTCTCACCACAGACCCTTCTCACCCTTTCTCTTGAGATTTTGGGAATGCAGGCACATGGGCTTGGCGTGGGTTTCAAGCTTCTGAGTCTGGGACTCACACCGTTGTTAGTCATGTGGGAGTCCATCATCTTAACCACTACACTACCTGTTGGCCCTTGGAGTAAATGTTTTAACACACATAAAATAGTCCTTATTTTATCAGGAGTATGGACTCTTCTCCCCTCCCCTGTCTTTCCCTCCTCTCCTTTTCTTTTGTCTCACCTTTCCTTTTTCCTCATCTATTTCCACTTTCCTCCCTTCCCCTCTGCTGCTTCTCTACCTCCTCCACCTCCACATACACTCAGAGACTTCACACTGATCTTTTATTTTGCCTTGTTACCCAGGAAGGCACAAAAGTAAAAGACCTTTGCCTCAAGAATATTGTTACTTATTATTTTCAAAATTGTGTATGAATATATGTCAAAATTAAGTTCCAGGGCCCAGCCTAGGTAGCCTGTGCTGCTAGATGCTGCTACTCAGCAGGCTGAGGCCAGGTGGGCTGCCCTATTCCATTTCTAGCCTTCCCTAAAGTTCAAGGCATAGTGGCATGAGAGTCCCAGCTACTCTGGAGGCTAGGTCAAGAGATAGAGATGCTGTTTTAGGAAAAACAACAACTTTAAAAAATTTAAGTTCTTTGGGCTGTCATGGTAGTGTGGTGGTTAAGGTGTTGGACTCCCACGTGGCCGACTGTGGTTGGAGTACTGGACCTGGCGGCCTGCTTTCTCACTTTCCCTTTCTCTTTCTATCTCTCTCTGGTCAAATTAAATAATAGTAACAAAAAATTAAGTAAATAAATAATTTTAAAAATTAAGTTTCAGGGACCAGCAGTTAGTGTAATCGCTATGTCGCTGGACTCCCGTGTAGTTGACCACGGTTCATGTCCTGGACCCGGTAACTTAAAACTCACGCCGAGCACATGTGCGTGCATGCCCAAGATCCCGAGAGGAGAATGGAGGAGAAGGGATGGCAGCATGGCCATCCCCACTGGGGGGTGATTTCTCGCCTTCTGTTTGTCTCTGTCTGTCTGGCGAGCACACATGCCCTATAGCAAAAATCTCTCCCCCCAAAAAAAAATTTAAGTTCCATAAAAGAGCAATTTTAAAGTTGATTAAAATTACTGAAAAAAATTGTATTAGTTTGGGTCCACCAGTGATGCAGTGGTGAAGGAGGCTGGATCCCACATGGCCAACTGTGAGGTTCAAGTCCTGGACCTGGTGGTTCAAAAACACACCAGGCTCATTTGCATGTGTGCCCAAAATTCTGAGAGGAGAATGGAGGAGAGGAGATTGGGATGTGACCAACCCCCACCCTGTTTCTCTCTCATGAACACTTGCACCCTATAGCAAAATAAAAAATAGACAATTATAAAAACTGGAGTGAGTAGGAGGCATGGTAGTTAAGGCACTGGATTCCCTCATGGCTGACCACAGTGAGTTTTAGACCAGGTGGCTTTAAAATCATGCTGGGAGTGTGTGTATGCCTGTGTACTTAAAATCCCAAGAGATTTCATGCTGGGAAAATTCATTTTGTGTACTGTAAAGCTGTAAGTGTCAAATGTTTAAAAAAAAATACAATTTAATAATGATTTTAAAAAATAAACCAACAGGGAAATGGAAGAAAAGGGATTATGGTATGGCCATCCCACCAGGGAGGGGGGGGGGTGATTTCACACTTTCTCTCTCTCTATCTCTGTCTGTCTCTGGTGAGCACACGTGCCCTATGACAAAACAAAACAAAACAAAACAAAAATTTAAGAAAATTTTAAAAACTTGTATTAATTAAATATTTAAAAAATACCTAATACTTTAAGACTTAAGATTCTTAAAAAATTAATATTGATAATTATGTGAATAGTGTGATATTGAAAATAATATTGCTCTACTTTAATTTTACAGGTGCAGAAGGTTTTACTAGATTTAGACATGCAGGCTATCAAAGATAACCAAGCTAAAAAATTAAGTGGTGGTCAAAAAAGAAAGCTGTCTTTAGGAATTGCTGTTCTTGGAAATCCAAAGGTAAATATTAGTTTCACTGATGAGATCATAAATTATGTTGTATTATAAAAGCAGGCTGTAAAAAAATATGTAATACATTATGTAGATTTTAAACATATATAAAATATATGTTATGAATGTAATCATAGTAATAAGGCTTTAAAACTGAATCAGAAAGATAATTAACATGAATTAAAGTATCTTCAAATGAAATGCATATTATGAAAAAATTATGCATGGATTTGAAATATTTTGGTACCCAAATAAACTCATGCTTTAAGTTTTTCACAAATGTTTTGAAATGCCCACATACTGGTAACCTTTATGAAGGAGAATGAATGGTTAGCCTGTGACCTGATGGTTGAGGAAGCTGGATCCCATTTGGCTGCGTGGTTTTATTCCTGGACCCAGTGGCTTGAGGGGCATGCTGGGTACATGTGCATCCATGGCCAGAGTCCCATGGAGAGGGAGGAGTAGAAGTAAGGGGATTGCAGTTTGGCCGTGCCCCATGGGAGGTGCTTTCTTGCTTTCTCTTTCTTTCTGTCCTTCCTTTGGTAAATACATGTGCCATCTGGCAAATTGGAAAAAAAAAAATTATAAAAGGAAGGAGAATGAAAGGAATGAAATTTAGTTTATATTTGCACTGTTACAGTTCTTAAAATTATCTGAAGAAAATATGACCAAAAATAATTTGAATGGCAGCTATAATAGATTAATAGTCACTAGTTCTTAAAATATACTTGTAAAAGTTTTTAATAAAAGTTTAAAAAGAGAACAGGCCAGCAGGTGGTGTGATGGTTAAAGGTGCTAGACTCCCACATGGCTGACCGCGGTTTGACACCCAGAGCTGGCAGCTTGCTTTTTCACTTTCCCTCTTTCTTTCTCTGTCCCTCTGTGGTCAAATTAAAATAAACAAATAAATAAAGTTAAATAAAATAATTCTTTTGAAAAAAGTTTAAAAATGGAACAAAATCATAGGAATGGTTCAGCTCACCACTGTCCTGCTACCTTGAATTTGGTTGTTTATTCTGTGCTGTTTTCTGTCCTGATGAGCTGCATTGCACAGTCCTAGAACAATGCCAGGTGGTATGCCTGTAGCCAGGGGCCTCACTGATCACCATCCTGCCTCATTCTCCTTCGTTGCTGCAACTTGGGGATGAGTGCAGATTCTGGCTGTGCTAATTGATCTTCCTCTCACCCCCACCACCATCTTTCCTAAATTAAAAATAGTGTTGAAATATAGGATGTACTTCTCTAAAAAGTAATTTTTATATGTGCAAATTTAATGGTTAAGAAAAATAACAATATAGTTAATGTTTTGTTTTTTAGTTTATTTATCTGATTGTTATTATAGTTAGGTCTCAGGTATTACAGACATTTGTTGTTTGCAGTTAAACCAAGGAAAATAGTCACATGCTAAACTCATAATTTGCAAAATTTATGTGAACTCAAATATGAGTGAAAAACTCAGGTCTAATTTATTTCTGATCGAAAATAATACCTTCTTTAATTATCCGCGGAATTTTATATTTTAGTTTTCTTGAGGATTCCCTGCTCTTCCACACCCCTTTTCCCACAGGTACTATTGCTAGATGAGCCGACAGCTGGAATGGACCCCTGTTCTCGTCATATTGTTTGGAATCTTTTAAAATACAGAAAAGCCAACCGGGTGACTGTGTTTAGTACTCATTTCATGGATGAAGCTGACATTCTTGCTGGTGAGATCTTTGCTTTATTTTTGAAGAAGATCATGGGCTAGAAGGAAAGTTCACATACAGAAACCCTGAGAACTAAATAGAAAATATATATAATAATATATATTCATAGAAAAGTTTTAAATTTTTTACAAGTTATATGAGAGAGCTGTCTTCAAAAATTTCATGGAAAATGTATAGTATGGAAAACTATTCATGGATTAAAATTTTTCTGCACCCAAAGAACTTGTATTTTAACTATTTTTCATGAACTTTTTGAAGTATCCTTGTATATTTTTGTGTTGGGAATCCTCCAGATGACCCCACATTCAGCAATTTCCTGGGAGATGGACAGAATTCAGCATGTAGTTACTACATTCATGGCTGTGGCTTACTGTAGCAAAAGAATACAAAGCAGTATTAGCAAAAGGAAAAGAGAGATAGACAAACTCTGGAATAAAGCATCTACAAGCTTTCAAGAGTCCTCTCCCAGTGGAGTCACACAGATGCTCTTAATTTTTCCAGGATTGAGGTGTAATAACGTGTGAAATGTCTTTGGGGGAAGCTCATTAAGGACTCAATGTTTAAGGTTCTTATTGGATGCTGGCCACATAGGAACTCTCTGCCCAGCACATACCAAACTTACAGACTCTCAGAAACAAAGTAGGTTTTTAGCATAAAGCCACATTGTTTGTATGGTTTAGACTTAGTGTGCCAACGCTGTATGTTTTGAGAATAGTGAGATAGTCCATGAAAATCTCACCTGTGATAGTCCATAAAACGTAAATACTAATTATTAATACCATTATTAACTTGGAATTGAAATGTAAATCTCTGTTTGCAGATAGGAAAGCTGTCATATCACAAGGAATGTTGAAATGTGTTGGTTCTTCAATTTTCCTCAAAAGTAAATGGGGTATCGGCTACCGCCTGAGGTATCACCCATTCTTTACTGACATTGTTCTTCACTATAGCCTTGATCTACTATTGTTATTTTTAGAGTTTGTCGTAATGTGCTTTGACTGTCTTATATAGCACTAGGTTTAAGCATTTAGAATTTGCTTTTGGCTGTTTATTGAGAAATCCTAAGAATTATAATTTTTGGTTTTCTCTAGCATGTATATAGACAGATACTGTGCCACAGAATCTCTTTCTTCACTGGTTAGACAGCATATACCTGGAGCTACCGTATTGCAACAAAATGATCAACAACTTGTATATAGCTTACCTTTCAAGGACATGGACAAATTTTCAGGTATTAACTTTCCATTTCTTGGATATTGAACTGCGATCTTATGTTTGGAATAGGCTTTCTTGATTTCCTTTTGTCTACTTCTCTGTGTAATAATTTTATGTTCTTAGGTGGCCAGAGTTAATTTCCTTTCTCTCTTTTTTTCCCCTTACATTTGCCAGAAGGTACATGTACTTGCTAGAGAGAGAGAGACAGAGAGGGAGAGAGAGAAAGCACCCCCAAGTGGGGTGTGGTTATGCCACAATCCTGTCTCCTTTATTTATCCTTCCTTTCAGGATTTTGGGCACACATACACGCCAGATGAATTTTTTAAGCTTCTGAGTCCAGGATTTGAACTATATACCTGGCTGTGTGGGATCTAGTGCCTCCATTTACTAGGCCATACACTAACTGCTGGTCCCAAAACCTTGAATGATTTTAATTGATGCATTTTTCTACTTTATAACCATAAACTCAAAGTTACTCTCCTTCTGTTAGCAATTACTTAGTAGCCAGTAGGCTATTATGGATATGGATATGTTTGATATGTTGTGCAGAATTCCCATAATATTTACCTAGTAATTAGAAAAATATTTTCTATACTAGCTTAATTGGTTTCTTTAAAAGAGAGATCACTAATAACTTCAATGAAGTACATGTGCCAATTTAATGCACCCTGCCTATCATACTGTCTTCTTATATTCTCTTATCTCCTATCCTCTAATAATTTTTCTGTAGTGCTAATTTTGTGCCAGATGCTGATCAGTATCTTTTACAATTATTAGTTTATTTAGTCATCCCACTATTTTAATAAATATGTGAGATGAATACTGTAATTGCCTCTATTTTATAATTGAGGAAACTGAGGCATAGAAAGATTTAAAGAACTTTTCGAGGGTAACATAGGTAGAAAGTGTTGGAGCTGAATTTTGAACCCACACAAACCGGTTCCAGACTCATGTCTTCATGGCCATTCTTTCTTGCTTTTCATGTTACTTTGGTGAATTCTCACAGTATTCCCCTATATTTCAAAATGTGTTTGGGGAACTCTGGCAGAGGGTGGACTCTAAGATGTCTCAAAGGAGTTCATGAGGTCAACAATTTTTTGTCATTAATACCAAGATGTTATTTGCCTTTTTGACTTTCAGTTTCTTATGATTACAGTATTTTTGAGATACTACATGACATATATGCTATCTCAATAAACTGAATACAAAAAGAAATATAAGAATTCATCTGTCCTTTACTAAGAAAGACATTAGAGATTTGTGAAAATATTAAACAATGCCCTCTACTCATTATATTTTGTTACGAAAATATAGTTTTCAAAAATAGATTTTTCTAACATATAGTAGGTTTATTTTTGTTGTTTTAAGAAATGAATATATATGTAAAGGGTTTCTCTGTATTTTCCAGTATGTGTTTGTTTTAATAGTAATTTAAAGAATTATGAAATAATTTTTAATTTTATCATATGATAAGTATCTAATAGATATAGCCCATATATAAAAGTTTGAGAATCACTGTGCTAGCAGATAAATTGAGTCATATTCTATTTTTAGAGAATATTTTAAAATAACTTATAACACAATACTTAATTTAGGAGGGAATTTAAAAATGTTTGTAAAAAATGGAATGAAATATGATTTTATTTTGGTAAAAAAATTTTTGAAATTCACATGTAGTATTTTTGTAATACTCATTTTCCATTAACTTTTGAAGACCCCACATAAAGTGTTCTTTTCTTTTTTCTTTTAGGTTTGTTTTTTGCTCTAGACACTCACTCAAATTTGGGTGTTATTTCTTACGGTGTTTCCCTGACGACTTTAGAAGATGTGTTCTTAAAGCTGGAAGTTGAAGCAGAAATTGACCAAGCAGGTAAAAATAGATCAAAACATTTTAAGTAATGAACCAGACATATGGGAATAGAATTGCCATTTCCTGAGAAGAGAGGAAGGACAGGTTTTTGGAAAGAAGGAATCCAGATGTAAATTTTGGTTCTAGCGTTTGAATTGCATCTGGAGCTAAGTGAAGATGTTAGAGTGAAGATAGAAATTCTGAGCTAACACATAATAGAAGGTATTACAGAAATGGATGAAATCACTGAGGTAGAGTGTTTAGAAGGAGTTGAGGGGCAAGCCCTGAGGATGAGTGGAGAAGAAGCCAGAATGAGCTATCCAAGAAGGAACCATTATTGTGCTTTCTTGTGCAAAAAAAAAAAAAAAAAAGGAGATGCAAAAGCCTAGGAAAAAATGGTGTTCCAGGAGAGAGTAACTGTCAAGAATAAGATAAGGACAGAAGATTGTTTAGTTCCATCAAAGATGGAAACTCAGTCATATAGCATCCAGGGGTGACCTTGATGAGCCTGCTTCTGTTGTGCAAGAAGAAGCAAGTTGGATATGTGCAGGTTAAGGTGAGAATGTGAGTTAAGGATAATTTTCTAAAGATTGAACATTAGCAAGATGGTTGTGGTGGTAGGTCCAGAGAGTGAAGGAAGCTAGATGTTAGTTCATAGTTTGTTAAAAGAGTCAAGATGCTTTCAGTACATTGTGCAGGAATGTTGAGTGGCTAATGATTAAAATCATTGTGAGACCAAAGTCAAGAAAAAAGCTAAGTATGTCATCATGAAATGAACCTCTTTCATGCTAAACTAAATCTGAAACTTGATAAAAAATGATTACTAGGATTTTATTATTCATGGTTTTAGTGGTCAAATTTTAAGATTGGCATTGTGAAGAAACGATAGTTTGCTAGCATTGTCCACTTTAAAATTGCTCTTGTATTCATACCTTTATGATGCCTTATGCTCACTTTCAAATGCAGTCTGAGAAACAATGTACTTTTGGGTCCTTCATTTTTCTCCTGTCATGTCTGGATCAAGAAATATTTATCTGAACTATTATTCTGATTTTGAAGGTTTTCCGTTTGAAAGCTTGAGATGATGAAGTTGACATTCTGCTTTTAATTCATCCTCACAAATTGTGGAAGAATTTAGAAAAGAAACCTTTTTTTGACAGTTTTACAGCTTTAAATAAAATTAGATAACTAAAAATAAAGCCTCCTAACAAAGATTTATTTTATTTATGAGAGCTAGTTTATGAATAACTATATAAAAATGATTTAATCTCATCTATTTTGCTTAATGTTATTATATAAGTTGAAAAATATATGCGTTGGTTCAGAGTTATAATGTTCTTCCAAAAGCTGTGTAATTATTTCACTTTCATTAATATTTGCATTAATTGTCAGTCTTTCAGCATTTAAATTTCTGAATGTTTGCTTTTGATTTAAAATGAGTAACTGTCAATTATGTAGCATTTCATTTGTACCATTAAATAAATAGACGTTTTTATTTTAATTTGTAGAACTTCAGCAGAAAATAGATAGGAAATTTTTATTTCAAATATTGGGTTGTTGGAAAAGTCATGACACGTTTTTACATAGAAAAATATATGTCATGATTTTCCTGACAGCCCAATACATTTAGAATGTTTAACTATAATTGAAAATGAATAGTAAATATTTAATGTAAGTCTGAGTAACATACTTAACATTACTGAGTTCATTATTTTTTCCCTTTTTCTTTTTGAGAGAGATTTTTGCTATTAATGTTGTTTCTTAAGTGCTATGATAATAACCTATATGATTACACTGTCCTTGATCATGTACTATTTCAAGAATGCCAGGAAATGATACAGAAATAGGCATTTGACTGTTAACCCTTTCAAAAACATAACATGAAATTGAAGGGCAGATTTTGTCTGAAAACTAAGCCTGAAACTAAATTTAATAGAGAAGAAAGCCAGGAGAAGACTCAACATGGAGGAAAGAGGAGTCAAGTGTATAATGAGGACAAGATGTTATGTCGTAGTCACAGAAGAAAAGTTCAGAGTAAAATTTTGTGTATTATATAATGGAGAGATACTAAGTTGTTAAATGTGGGTGTGCATCCAGTTTGCTTTTGAACAGTGAAATCATCCAGGATGTATTTTTATTCAGTATTATGCTTGTGAGATTCAACCACATTGTTACGCACGTACTGTAGCTGTACAGTAATTTGCCCACTTTCATTGTTTTACACTCTTGCCTAGTAGACTTATTTCACAACTGTTTATTCATTCACATGTTGGTAGACATTTGAGTTTTTTCCAGTTTATGGGTATACTGGGTAAGTCTCTACTGATGACTCCAGTACACATGTCACATGTCTCTATTGGGTTTATACCTAGTGGGATTTCTTGGGTCATAATATATGTGTACATTCAACTTTAGTAGATACTACCTAAGTATGTGAGATTTCACTTTGTTTCTCATTACAACCAAGTGTATGCATCTTAAAAATTTACACACACCAAAAATGTTTTTCATCGAAATACACTGAATTTTTCTTCTCGTTTTGTTTCGGTGAATAGATTATAGTGTATTTACTCAGCAGCCACCAGAAGAGGAAATGGATTCAAAATCTTTTGATGAAATGGAACAGAGTTTACTTATTCTTTCTGAAACTAAGGCTTCTCTGGTGAGCACCATGAGCCTTTGGAAGCAGCAGGTGTATACAATAGCAAGGTTTCATCTCCTTACCTTGAGACGTGAAAGTAAATCAGTGAGATCAGTGTAAGTACTATAACCACCATTCTGCCTAAAGAGTTGCTCTTTTAATTACTCAAATTGGATTTACCTTTTCAAATTTTAAAATGTAGGCATGTAAATAATTATATACTTTTAAAAGACTGCTACTGTAATTTTAGAGTATCTGGGAAAAATTCTGCTTATAGCAATTTTTTTTTTTTTTTGAGAGGTTTTTGCTGTAGGAGACGGTTGTCCTCACCAAAAAAACAGAGACAGAAAGTGAGAAATCACCCCTTTGGGGGGATGGCCATGCTGCAATCCCTTCTCCTCCATTCTCTTCTCAGGATCTTGGGCACACGTGCCTGACGTGAGTTTAAGCCACTGGGTCCAGGACTTGAACTGCAGTCGACTACATGGGAGTCCAGTGACAGCCATTATGTCAACTGCTGGCCCCTTGCTTATAGCAATTTCATCAAGTACCTTTAGAGCCTCTTTTTCTTTTTTTTTTTTTTAAAAAAAACTAGCATTTATAATTTATAAAATGGAGAACTAGCAATATTCTCTGATTACATAATTTTGGAATTGTCATTTTATCTTAAATTATATTTTGCATTTATAATTTTAACTAATTTTGTACCTATTAGTTTTTATATTAACTTTTTATAAATAGCAGGAAAAATAAGCATAGTTTTATTAGACAAAGAAACTGTAATAAATATAAAGAAAGTGAGATAGCCTAACTTGAACCTTTCTGTTGGGTTGCCCTAGAATGGTAGGCACTGAATTATTTGAAAATTGCATAAGCCACTGTCATTCTCCGAGCATCCATTTTGTTACAACCAAAATGCCGATAGGAGTAAAGCTTAATAATCAAGAATAAGAGTATTGTTATATATTTGAAATACTTAGAACTTACTAGCTTTTTTGACTGAATTTATTCAGTATCAAACAAATGTCAGTCAAGTATCTGAGTTATTCCTATGTCAGCATTACAGAAAAAAAAATGTTTTAAAAATCATGTTGTTCATTTAATTTAACATCACTTTCATAAACACTCACTGAAAAACAATAGAATTGTCTTAACTCAACCTGCCATGACAAAACACCATCTGCTGGGTGACTTAAACAGAAGAAATTTATTTTTTTTACAGATCTGGAAGTTGGATATCTAAGATTAGAATGCTGTTATAGTGAGGACTTTCTTCCTGGTTTGTAGAAGGCCACTGTGTCACCACTGGGTGCTGACATGAGTGCATTAAAAAAATTAAAAATTAAAAAATAGGGTACTTAAAATGATAAGTTGCTAACTGAAGCGTAATGATCTGAACTCTCTAGCCACTTCTTGTGATACTTACCACATATAATATAGAGATATTTCATAGGATAAGTAGCTGTCTTCTAGATGGAAGGCATTGTAGTATATTTCACCTTGCTTCCTGAGAAGAGCAACTACAGTTAAGGTGATTAAATTGTGATTAGGATAGGGGACCAGTAGGTGGCGTGGTGGTTAAGGCACTGGACACTCTCATATGGCCAACCATGTCCTGGACCTGGTTCAAGTCCTGGAACTGGTGGCTTGCTTTCTCACTTTCTCTTTCTCTCTCTTTCTGTCTCTCTCTGGCCAAATTAAAATAAATAAATGAGCAAATAAAATTAAATAAATAATTCTTTAAAAATAATAAAATAAAATAAATTGTAATTAGGATAGAGGCCAGCGAGTGAAATGGTGGTTAAGGTACTAAATCCTCACGTGGGTATTCTCAGACCTGGTGGCTTGAAAACCACGCTGGTCATGTGTGCATGTGTGCCTCAAATCCCAAGAGGAGACTGGAGGAGAAGGGATTGTGGTGTAGCCATCCCCCCTCGGGGGATAACTTCTTACTTTTCCTCTCTCTCTCTTTCTGGTCCAGTGAACACACATGCCCTATGGCAAAACCCAAGGGGAAAAAAAGTTGTGATTAAGATGAAATTTTAAAGTTTCATTGTATTTTTATTTTCTTCCCTATATCTAAAATATTTTGCTAATATATGGAATGTGAGTGGTTGAAACAGAAGCAGAGTAGGAAATATTTCCTTACGGAGTATAAAGACATAACTATTTTTGCATAATAATATCTGGTTCTTTACCAGCTATAATTGCATGTTTACATACCCTGTAAACATTTAAGGATGACTCTGATCTGAATTACACATTTAGAACTTTAAATTTGTTGTTCAGTATTGTTTTTTTTCCTCCAATATTGTCATAAGATCATTTTGAGGAGTAAAATTTCTATTTTTTTAAGTTTTTTTTCTTTGTTTTGTGTTTTGGTTGTTTTCAGTGATTACCTTTTAACCATCTGGGGTTTATATCTGTACCAAAGTGAAGGAAGACTTTTTAAAATTTAATATATTTTATTTTAATTTGTTCTATACATTCAATCACTTTACATCACTTAGCTTGTAAAGTGAATTTTCCAACATGAATACACTTCACACCAGTTCAGTTGGGAACATTATACACACATTGTCATCAACATATAATAATCCATTTCTGTATCCCGTAAAGGTCTTGGCTCTCTATTTTCCTTCTTTCTGTCTTTAATAGGTTTGTAAGTATATGTATCTAGAGCTTTGTTTTTTTTTCTTCCTTTCAGGTTGCTTCTGCTTTTAATATTTTTCACAGTTCAGATTTTTATGTTCTTGGTACATCACTCTTTTAAAAATGCTGTGGTTCCCACCAAACTTGTTCCAGACTTATATTTCCTTAAACCCGGAGATAAACCTCATAAGTACAAAACAAGTCTGCTTCTTCAAAATTCTACTGGTGAGAGTGTGTGAAGGTCTGTGAATGTGTGTTGGTTGGGGGATGGGGTTGGGGTAGATACAGGTCAGAGATTTGGATTTTTAGAAATATGTTTAAGGTAAAGGTATGGTCTGTCTGCAAAAATCTAAACTAAGTGAAATGTTTACGTTACTGATACTGACTACTGTGTAATGACATTTTGGTTTAAATTTAAAAAGCAGTTTTGAAAATATTCTAATTTATACTGCTTATAATCATAAAATCTCCTTTTTTTAAATACAGAAACATTTATAGCAACATGTTTTACCTCAAAAGTTTGATGAGCAAAATAAACTTCTGAAGTTGAAAAACCTCTTTAGAAAGAATATTAAGTATATAGCATTCATACAGTTATTTATCAGAAATGCAGTTATTACACAGAAATGTTTAAGTAATCCTTCAAGGACTATTTGAAAAACCCAATACAAACTTATGCTCATACATGATTAGTCATTTCTCTAGCATATCCTGTGTATTGGCTCATTGGAAAAGTCATGATGCATTTTGCATAGAAAAACATAGAAGCATTATGTCTTGACTTTTCCGATGACCCATACCTAGATAGCTTATAATCTCAAGGTTTTTGAAGAGAAAATAAATGTTAGCTGACTTTGGCAAATTTATAGCAAAACAAAGCAGCCTCATTTGCTTAATCTTGCTGAAATGTGTTAGAAAGTTGCATTTTATCTAACCTTTTTTTTTTCCTTTGGGGTTTAACAATTTCTTTTATTAATATTTATTATTTTTAATTTATTTATCTTTTAAAAGAATTATGTAGTTTATTTTGTTTATTCTTCTTTTTCTTCAATTTTGTCAGAGAGAGAGAGAGAGAGCGAGAGAGCAAGAGCGAGCAAGCACCAGGACCATGGTTGGCCATGTGGGAGTCCAGCACTTTAACCCCCCACACCACCTGCTGGCCCCAATTTATTATTATTATTTTTAAATTTTCGACAGGGCACATGCACTCACTGAAGAGAGAGGGAAAATGAAAAAGCACGCCACCAGGTCCGGGATTTGGACTGTAGTTGGTCATGTGGGAGTCCAGCACCTTAACCGCTGGTAGCCCCAGGGTTTAATGATTTCTAAGATGTCACCTGTATTCTACTATCTTCCCTTCTTTTTTTTTTTAATTGCTAGAGGGCATATGTACTCACCAGAAAGAGACAGAAAAGGAGGGAGGGAAGGAGGGAGAGAGAAACATAGAGAGAGAGAAAACATTCCCTACTGGGGTATTGGTCATGCCATAATTGCCGTATTAAAAGCCACATTCTGTCTCTTACATATGTGCCTGATGTGATTTTTCAAGCTGCCAAAGCTGGGATTCAAACCATGGTTGGCTGTATGGGATCCAGCTCTCCTTAACCACTTGACTATAGGAATGGCTTTTATCATTCCTTTTTTATTCACTACTAATTTACAGGCTTTGCCCACTGTTAAAATAATAAGCATAGACTAGGCAGAGTATATATTACTATTAAAATATCAGTTTTAAAATCATGTTTTGGAGAAAGATATAGTTAGTGATAAAAATTACTTAAATCAAAGACATGTTTTATATTTCTTTCTTTAATTTAGAATTCTTGGGTTTTGGTTTTAATATACCTTTTATGTTGCTAAAATATAGTATTGCATGAAATTTTACACTGTGACAGTCATGGGTTTTTTTGATATGTAAAACATATGTTCTGGGGAATTGTACGTGTATCTGAAATCATTCTGCTTGGAGTTCATTATCACTGATTTGCAGAAATTCCAGCATTTTCACAGCCTGACTTTTTTACTGTATTTCAATATTCTGAAAGGTGCTTGTTTATGTATCCTAGATTTTCCTATGCCCTGTTGCTGGTCCAAAATAAAGCTACTTTTCCCTTAGGATTACTGGCCAAAGTGTATGTACATGTTGAGCAGTACCTTACCCTCTGCAGATCTTTTAGTGTAGAATGATAACGTTCCTTTAGTTATAATATGACTGTCTTCTCAGAGTACGTAGCCACTCATGTAAGCTGGAGCTAAGAGGTCAGTTTTGGTACCAGAAGGAGTAAGTGAGTGGACTGTGTTCCTGAAAGCACCGTTCTCCATGATGCTCAAGTTTGGTGCTGAGTCTGATCCACTGTGCCATATTATTCAAGTACTGGATTTACTTTTTTTTTTTAATTCAGATTTTTTTAAAGTCAAATTTGTTGTTCACTGAATCCTGATTTTTGTGAAGATAGAGGAGTAACTGACTCCAGTCAGTCATTAGATATACTTGTGTAGATATAAACCCCAGACAGGATTCAAAGTATTTCCCTTTGCTTCTGGAAATTCAGAGTGTTGACAGAGACCTGATATGTGCTTCAGTATTTTAGGGTAGTTATGGCAGTTGACATTTATAGCTTGTCTGCCCAGACCATTGAGAAATCTTCTAGGGAGTGATCTTGCCTAACCTATAATTTTTTGAGTTCATCTATTTATCTTGTTACCTAAAGTTGCCAGATAGATTTTTATTCTCATCATTAACCAAACTTTCTGTGAGTATTATAAGTAACTTTTTAATGCTGGCAATAGTCATAGTGGTCGCACAAATTTGCACAATTGCTATGTGCTAGGTTATTTTCAATCCCTGTGTGTATATTCACTCATTTAATTCTCATGACCACTCTTCCTACAAGGTAGATGTACTTATTATCCTTGCAAACAAAGGAGAAAACTAAGGTTCAGAGCAGCTAGGTAATTCCCTTGAAGGGAAAATAGTATAAGTAGTACAGCTCACATTGGAATCCAGACTCACAGGGACCAGAACCTATGTTTAATCATATCTTAATTAATGCAGAAAAAACAATTTTCTAAAAACAGAATTATCTTTCCAGTATGATTGAAAGCCTATGTGTGTTTCTCATTTAAACCAATTCTTTGTTATTTGCCTACTTTCTGATCCCAGACTCAGATATCGATGATCTTATTAGCTTCTTCACAAAGCAGAACATAATGGTGACGATGTTTAATGACAGTGACTATGTGTCTGCTGCTCCTCACAGTGCAGCTTTGAATGTGATGCATTCCGAGGAGGTAAGAAGACTACACATGGTGCCCATTTGAGAGTTATAAGCTCAAAATAGTTTATATTAAAGATTAAATTAAAAAAATTAAATATCTTGGGGCAGGCAGGTGATATGGTATTTGGGAGCTCTGGACTCCCCCATGGTCAGCCACGGTTCAAGTCCTGGACCTGGTGGCTTGCTTTCTCACTTTCCCTCTCTCTCTCTCAATCTGTCCCTCTCCGGTCAAATTTAACTAACTAAATAAATAAATAAAGTTGAATAAAATAATTATTAAAAAAATTAAATATCTTATTAAATTGATATTAATGTGTCCTCTAAAATTAATTAATTATTTGTTTATTTGACCTCATTAATTAGAAGTTACTTGAAAATAGCTAAACATATTTATTTGTGACATATTTTATGCCCTGGTGGATGAACAATAAATAAAGCTACAGGAACTTAATTTCTTATAAGAATTATTTATTTTTAAGTTAATTTATCATTATTATTATTGTTATTTTTAAATTTGCTATAGGGTACAAGAGAGAGAGAGACAGAGAAAGTGAGAAAGCAAGCTCTTAGGTCCATGATGCGAATCTTGGTTCGCCATGTGGGAGTCTAGCACCTCAAACACCACGCCACCTTCTAGCTCCAGAATTTAATTTCTTCAATATTTTAGTTTAAAATATAAATATATCTGCACATGCCAAACCAGTTTGTCTTTATTATTGCATATTATTTTCATGGTTTATTGAAGCAGCTTTTTATTATAATTAATAAGAATTAGCTTAGTTAGTAAGAAAAGCTTAGGACATAGCAATACATTTACTTATATTTATACACAATAAGTAATATGCCTTTTTTTAATTTTAGGACTATGTTTTTGCAGCTGTCTTCAACAGTACAATGGTTTACTCTTTACCTGTATTGATGAATATTATTAGTAACTACTATCTCTATCATTTAAATGAGACTGAAACCATTCAAATCTGGAATACTCCATTCTTTCAAGTAAGCAAATGTGTATGGATTAGATTTCATATGCATGCTATATAATTCTGTTAAAGCCAAGTGCGACCAGCAGAGGGCATAAACTGGGTTACATTACTAGACTCCCACATAGTCAACTGCAGTTCAAGTCCTGGACTCAGCAGCTTAAATCTCACATTGGGCATGTGTATGTGCATGCTCAAAATCCTGAGAGGAGAATGGAAGAAATGGATTGTGGTCTGGCTATCCCCCCAGGAGGGGTTGGGAGTATTTCTTGATTTCTGTTTTTCTGTCTCTGTCTGTCTCCAGTGAGCTCATGCTCCTGATAGTAAAAATCTCTCTTAAAAGAAAAAGAAAAGGCCAAGAAATAATAACAAAGAAAATGTATAGCAATTTACCTTGTGAGATCTTTGTCTTCTTAAAACTTGAGTAGGGGATGTTTTACATCAAGGTTTAGAAGTCCCCTGTATTAGTTTGCTTTAAAATCAAGGAGGTTCTGTTTTAGTATTGGTATTTTTGTAAAGCATGAGCATTTTTTACATTAGTCATAGAATAAAAGTTAAAATAATTTTAAAATGAATATTGTTTATTTGAAATCTAGATATTGGGGTATTGAAATTCACCCAGATGACCATTTTTCCTGTAGGTAGAATTACTGGATTGTAAATATCAAAGTGAACGTAAGACTACAGAAAAATATTCAGTATTTTGTCTCTCGATCCTTTTTTTTCATATGCAGAAAAATGAATAGACATATCTTTAACAGCATTTCTATTGTTATACTTTTTTTTTTTAGGTGTTTATCATAGGGTGCGTGCACTCACCAGAGAGACCAAGACAGAGACAACGAGAGGGAAAGTCAGAAATCATCCCCCAGGGGGGATGGCTATGCCACAATCCCTTTTTTCCATTCTTTTCCTGGGATTTTGGACACAAACACACCTACACTGGGCGTGATTTTCAAGCTGGTGGTTCTGGGACTCAAACTGCAGTCCACCGTGCGGGAGTCCAGTCCCTTAACCACTATACCACCTGCTGGCTCCTATTATCATACTTCTTTTTTTTTTTAAGAGGTTTTTGCTATAGGGCGCATGTGCTCGCCAGACAGAGAGAGACATAGAGACAGAAAGCGAGAAATCACCCCCCGGGGGGATGGTCACGCCGCAATCCCTTCTCCTCCATTCTCCTCTTGGGATCTTGGGCATGCACGCACGCGCCCGGTGTGAGTTTTAAGCCACCGGGTCCTGGACGTGAACCGTGGTCGACTGCGTGGGAGTCCAGCGACATAGCCATTACGTTAACTGCTGGTTCCCCTATTATCATACTTTTAAAAACAGCTTTAGTGAAATAAAATTCACAGACCATCTAATGGGCTTATTTAAAGTGAACAATTCAGTGATTTTTATTGTGTTTATAGAGTTGTGCAACCATCACCATCATCAGTTTTAGACATTTTATCACTCCACTAAAAACCCTTGCAATCATTGGTAATCATTTTTCATTTCTCTTCATGTTTACCCGAGTCTTAGGCAGTTGCCAGTCCATGTTCTGTTTGTATAAATTTTACACAGTCATATAACATGTGATCTTTTTGTTTACCTTGTACTTAACTTTTTTTTTTTTTTCTTTTTTAAGTGGCAGAGAGCACTTGTGCTTGCCAGAGAGACTGGTGACTGGGGGGAAATCCCATCCATGGGGATGACACAGTCCCTTCTCCTCTATTTTTCCATCCTGTTAGGATTTGGGGCACACATACACATGCCCAGTATGCTTTTTTAATCTGATGGGTCCAGATTTCGACTGCAGTCAGTCAAGTAGAATCTGCTCCCTTAACCATGAGGATGTAGGGCTGGCTTTAGCATACTGTTTTGGATATTTATCCATGTAACATGTATCAGTACTTCATTTGTTTTATTACCAAATAATATTTTATTTTATGGATTGTATGGAATGTATATATGGGATGCTGCACTCTTCATTCTTAATGGACATTTGGATTGTTGCCACATTGTAATTACAAATAATGCTATGAACTTGGAAATAGAAGCTTTTGTGTATATTTTGTGTCTCTTGAGTGTTGTCTTGGTCTGATTTGTTGTTACTGTTGTTACTATAACAGAATACCTGCGACTAGGTAGTTTATAAAGAAGAGGGGTTTATTTTGAGAGGTTTATTTAGATCGTGGTTTTGTAGGCTGGAAAGTTAAATATTTGGTGGCCACATCTGATGTGGACCTCATGCTGCATTAAAATATGGTGGAAAAGCAGAAGGGGAACTGGATGGATATGAAAAGGAAGCATATGTGCCAAAGAGAAAGAGGAGAGGTGCCAGGCTTCCCTCATTTGTTTATTTATTTTTAATTTATTAAAATTAAAATTATTTTTAAAATTTGCTACAGTGTACATGTGCTTGCTGGAGACAGAAAGAGAGAGGGGGGGGGCACGCATAAAGGCACTCTTGGTATAGGGGATGACTACGCTGCATTCTGTTCTCCTTTCAAGATTTTGGGCATACACATGCATTCACCCAGTGTGTTTTCCAAGCCACTGGATCCAGACCTTGAACCACACATTTGGCCATGTGGGATCCAGCCACCTTAACCACCACACCCCCTAGCTGGCCCCCAGGCTTGCTTTATAACCACCTACTTTCAGGGTAACTGACTCACTCCCAGGAAACCTAACTCAGCTTCCATGAGAATGGCACCAGTCCACTAAGGGCAGAGTCCTGATAACCCAAATGCTTCCCATTAAGCTCCTCTTCATAAAGGTTCCACCTCCCAGTAATACTGCACTGCCACCATGCCTCAGTGTGAGTTTTCGTGGGGACCGAAGCACATCCAAACCATAGCAGGTGTATATCTAGAACCGGAATTCCTGGATCCTGTGGTAACTCCACATATAACATTCCAAGGAACTGCCAAATATTTTCCAAAGTGGTTGTACCTTTTTTCATTCCCATCAGTGAGGGTGACGAGATATCTCATTTTTATTTCGATTTGCATTTTTCTGATGACTGATGCTGAAAATCTTTTCATATGCTTCTATCTTCTTCGAGAAATACCAATTCAGATCCTTTCCCCATGTTTAAATTAGGTTATTCATCTTTTTTATGGTTCTTTATATATATTGTTTATATATTGTAGATACAAGCGTTTTATCAGATATACGATTTGTAAATAGTCTTCCATCTGGTGTTGTCTTTTCACGTTCTTGATGGTATCCTTCAAAGTGCAAGTTTTCAGTTTTGCTGAAGTTCAGTGTATCTAATTTTTCCTTTTACTGCTTGTGCTTTTTATATCATAGTAAATCTTTTGATCCATGGTCAAAAGTGTTAGTCCTGTATTTTTGTCTTGGTTTTCTAGTTTTAGTGCTTATTTAGGCCTATGATCTATTTGCAATTAATTTTTAATGAATTATTTAACTTTATTTATTTCTTTTAATTTGATCAGAGAGGGACAGAGTGAGAGAGAGAGAGTGAAGTGAGAAAGCAAGCCACCAGATCCAGGATTTGAACTGTGGTCGACTATGTGGGAGTCCAGCTTCCTTAACCACCACGCCACCCGCCTGCCCTTGTTTGAAGTTAATTTTTACATAGAGTGTAAGGAAAGAAGCCAACTTCAATTTTTGCATATTCTTTTGCATTTCTTAGAAGTGTTTTTGTGTCATGTAGTCACAATTCCTCAAACTAAAAAAAATTATTTGAACATTATTTATCTATTCCTATGGATTCTATTCACTCAAAAATAATTTTCCTTTATGTGTTTCCCATTCTTTTCTCTATCATGTTGAACCCTTAAATTCTTTCTGCCAAGCCCTTCTTATATGTTTGCTTTTCCTAGAACGTTTTTTTACTCTCTTATATTAGTCAACATAATACTTCTGACACTAGATGCATCAGTTTTTTCCTCCGTACCTCAAGTAGTTCTCGAGCAGACACCAGCTCAATGTCTTACAGTGTCAGTTCAGCTCTGATACTATCTATCTGATGGAGTTGAGCAGTCGGTGAAGAGGTAACACAAAGCAAGGTCCAGAAGTGTCCCAAGCTTAGGAGCTTCTGTCTCTGTGGGGTTGGGGTAGTGTGCCAATCTCCTAATATGAAGATGTGTTCATCAACCTGGATGCTTTTTGAACTTTGTACTAATAGGATTTATGGAGATGCCATTACATAGGCATGATTGATCAAATCACTGGGCATTGGTGAGCATCTCAGCCTTTCATCACACCCCCTCTTAGAGATTAGGGATGTAGCTGCAAGTTCCAACCCTACAGTCAGGTAATTCATTCTGCTGGCAACCAGACCCCATCCTGAGTTGTATCCAGGAGCCAACCAAGAATTCTTTATCAGAACAAAAGATGCTCCTATCACCCAGAAAATTCCATGAGATTTTCAAGCTCTGTGTTAGAGGCTTCTACTACTTAGGAAAATTATAAAGGTTTTGGAACTCTATGTTAGAAACTGGGATCAAAGACAAAATATTAGAACAAAAGATTTCCCAGCACTCTGTATGCAAAGGTTTTAGGAGCTCTGACTCAGAAACTGGGTACAGAGACCAAATATATAGTTCACAGTATCACTTATAAGCATAGGGTATTATGGTAACACATGGGAAGAATATTCACACAAACCTAATTGGTTTGGAATATTGAGGTAGGGAAGCAATTAGGGAAGAACATCTGGCACTTGAAATAATTAAGACAGTTATAGAGAGAAGCAATAGCAAATACAAAGGCCCAGAAGAGAAATGGAAATTACACCAACAAATATATTATTTTTAGGACATTAACTGAGACCGAAAGAATGATCAGACATTAAACTTAAGATCTGATCACTAAAGATCATTGTTCATTGCCATTGCTTACAACTTACTGGTGGATATGCGAATTGCTCTTCACAAATATTATTTTTTATTAGATGGTGAAGCTCAATGTATATGCCATATTATTCTGTGTGATAGATAAGATGAGAGTACATTATTTTCTCAGGACCACATTGCTATTTAATAAGAGTCTGATGTAATACTGTCGTCCACTCTATTATTTCATGTGGACTTTGTCTAGGATACATACTGCAATGTATTCCTCCAGAGGTTTGATACTTTTTCTTTCTTTCTTTTTTTTTTTTTGGAGAGGTTTTTGCCATAGGGCGCATGTGCTCGCCAGACTGACAGAAAGAGACAGACAGAAAGCAAGAAAATACCCCCCAGGGGGGATGGCCACGCCACAATCCCTTCTCCTCCATTCTCCTCTTGGCATCTTGGGCACGCACGCATACACACCCGGCATGAGTTTTAAGCCACCGGGTCCGGGATGTAAACCACAGTCAACTACATGGGAGTCCAGCGATATAACCATTACGCTAACTGCTGGTCCCAGAAGTTTGTTACTCTTTTAGGGTGTACTAAAATGCAATAAAGTTATTCTCAGTTTCATTTCTTCTTATGGGATTGTCTTTCAGGAAATTACTGACATAGTGTTTAAAGTTGAGCTGTATTTTCAAGCAGCTTTGCTTGGCATCATTGTTACTGCAATGCCACCGTACTTTGCCATGGAAAATGCAGAGAATCATAAGGTAATAAGTCAGTTAAAAAATTACAGGTATGGATTGCTAATAAGGAATTTCATATATAAAAAAACTATTTGTGTGATTATAAGTCTTAAGTGTAATTATTATTTCAGGAGTAAATAAGTGGAGTAAAATTCATTTGTTGTAATTTATTGTAACAATAGTGATAACTAATGTTTATTACTTGCATACTTATTACATGCTTCAACAATTACATTCTCTAAGTTTTACAAAATTGTGAAGTAAGTGGATGATACGAGTGTTCCTGTAACTTGCCCATGTCGTTTCAGCTTGTTTCTGAACTGACTCTGATCCTTGTGTTCTTAAGTAGCACACTAACCTGTCTCTCCCCTATGAACTTAACAGAGTGTATTGACTGCATAAAGCACTTAATTCATGTTAAAGAAAGGGAAAAAAAGAAGGTAAAAAGTGGCATTACTAGGAACTAGGAAAAGTTGCTAAGTAAACAGAGTTTCTTTAGTACTTTTTACTTTCTTTCTGGCACCTTTCTCTTTTGTAGTCTTCAGGCACACAGTGATTTTTATATAGTCTTTTGGCTGTTCAAAGCTTTCTACTCTTCCACTCTGCTGGGATTGTATTTACTCTTATCCTCTCTGTGGACGATCATTTTAGTGGAAGTAAATGTGCCTAAATTAATTACAGTAATGAATAATGAATTTAAAGCTCTTTTTATATTCTAATTTAAAAGCTCATTTAAAAAGTTTTTAAAATTTTACTGAAAATTCTAATAAATTTTAACATAAACTTTATTGTTAATAAATTTACTTAGTATAAAAGTAACATAAATCATGGATATTTATAGATCATATTCAATTTTCATATTATAAACATGTGTATCCATTGTAGTAATTTAGAAATTGAGAAAAATAAAAGAAAATAAAAATTTGTATTCCTAACTAACTCAAAGATAAAACTTACTGGATGATTGCATTTTTCTTTTCTTTTTTCCTTGTTTCAGTTAACCTTTTTATTTTGAGATAAGTGTACACTCATGTAAGAAATGATAGAGAGGGGTCTGTGTATTTTACCCATTCTATCCAAGTGATACCATCTTGCAAAACTGTACTACAGTGTCACATGGATATTGACATTGATGCAGTCAAGATACAGAACAGTTCTGTAACTGCTGAGGTCCCTTCTGTTGTTCTTTTATACCTACACCCCCCCACCCTGCCGCCCTGCCCTCCTTTAATAAGTGACAGGTATAGTATGGTCGTCCACTACTGGCTGTTAATAAACCACCTATTCTTTGACATAGACTATGTCTAGGATAGATATTGCAATGTATTATCTGTTGTTTTAATCTGTTCTGTTCTCCATTCCTGTAATTCTGGTATTTTAAGAATGTATCAATGGAATCATAGTGTGTTTTCTTTTGAGATTGACATTTTCACTTAGCATAATTTCCTGGAAATTTACCCAATTTACATGTATCGATAGTCCAATCTCTCTTTTTTTTTTTTTTTTTTTTGGAGAGGTTTTTGCCCTAGAGCGCGTGTGCTCGCCAGACAGACAGAGAGAGACCGAGAGACAGAAAGCGAGAAATCACCCCCCAGGGGGGATGATCACGCTGCAATCCCTTCTCCTCCTCTTGGGATCTTGGGCACGCACGCACACACGCCCGGCGTGAGTTTTAAGCCACCAGGTCCGGGACACGAACCACGGTAGACTATGTGGGAGTCCAGCAACATAGCCATTGCGCTAACTGCTGGTCCCCGCCCCCCCCCGCTTTTTTTTTTTTAATTATTATTGCTGGGTGGTACTCCATAATGTGATTATACTACGGGTTGTATAAAAATGTCTAGAGTGTTTCTAGTTTTTGAATATTATGAGCAGAGTTGCTGTGAACCTTTGTTTACTGGTTTTTGTGTGAATATAAATTCATTTCTCTGGAATAAATGTCCAAAAGTGCAATTGCTGAGTTGTATGGTGATTGCACATTCATTTTTGTAAGAAATTCTCAAATTACTTTCCAGAGTGAATCTACTCTTTTACCTTCCGGTCAGGAATATATGAATCAAATAAGTTTAAATTATCCAACATAATTGTATTTGACTTGGTTTGTTTTTTAAATTGTACTGGAATTTACATATGTCTGATGTTACTATAATTCATTGAGCACAAACATGTCCATTTTTATCATTTCTCCTCTTTTTCTTAACTAATATTTATATTTCTTCCTCTGTTTCCCTTATCTCACTTTATTGCCAGTTTTTCCATTTAATACCTTTAATTATTAAGAGTAAATATTTTTATAAACAACAAAACTCAACTGTAAAAGCAGATTGTTAATATTTAGATTTGTGAGAGACTTAAAAAAATTCAGACTAAATAATGAGAACATGAGATAGTTAGGGACACTACGATTATTTAAGTTTACTGTTATTATAAATGAAAATACTATTTACTTGTGGTAGAAATACCATCTTGTAGTTACATATTATATTAGCACACAATAAAGGCCTTCAAGTACATCATCTGTGTACAAAATGTGATACTTAAAACCCTATGCAAATACAGATTGTACTTTGCAGCTTATTAACATTTCTATGAGATACTAATTTTTAAAAATAAGAATTTTTTTCTTGTTTAAAAATATCTTTTCATAAAAAAAATATATCTTTTCATCTATTTCCACAGGTTTTCTAAAACTGCAGTGTTTAGGCCACTAACTGTTTGCAGTTATAACCCTTAGGGCACCTTTTACTTCTTTTTTTAGTTTTATTTTTCCTAGCACTATTGTATTTTGATGATTAAAAATGTTGTTGAAATTATTTCATCTCAGAACTAATGAGACATAGTAAGGCTTACGTGGAACCTATATTTAGTGTGAAGAAGACATTTATTACCTACATGCCTGAAATATGACATTTTTTTTTTGTCAATGTGAAATTAAGAGTTCTATAATTATTTACTAGTTTTTGACTTGTAAAATGTCTAAAATCGTAATGAATTTTTTTTTCTTTTTTTTTAGATCAAAGCTTATACTCAATTGAAACTTTCAGGTCTTTTACCATCTGCATATTGGATTGGACAAGCTATTGTTGATATCCCCTTATTTTTTGTTGTTCTTATTTTAATGCTAGGAAGTTTATTTGCATTTCATTATGGATTATATTTTTATGCAGTGAAGTTCCTTGCTGTGGTAAGTTTTAAGTTGTATTCATGCTCTTTATAGAAAAAAATGTTATTTAAAAATATTTCTATACATGACAGTTGTTTGCTTTAGTAATTTGAGTATTAATTATATTTTTAGAGAGATTTTACCATAGGGTGCACTCATCAGAGAGACAGAGAGGAACAGAGATAGAGAGAAAGTGAGAAATCACCCCCTGGGGGGTGGCCATGCTGCAGTCCCTTCACTTCCATTCTCCTCTCAGGATTTTGGTCACACACATACCATTACCTGATGTGAATTTGAAACCTCCAGAGCTGGTACTTGAACTGCTGTTGGCCATGTGGGTGTCCAGCACCTTAATCACTATGCCACCTGCTGGTCCCAAATATTACTTTTTTTTGTTTGTTTTTTTAAAGAAAATTGATTTAATGCCTACTTAATTTTTATATCTAATACATGCAATTAATTCAATTTATAGTACTATCAGTGATTTTTAAAAATAATAACTTACTACCATTTGAAAATAGTTTCTGGAAATCTTTACATGTTGATCACCTGCTTGTGTGTAATTAGGGATACTTAAATGTTTATCTTCTTGTCTATTTTTATACCTGAATGCCATTTTACAAAGGAGATGCTCTTTTATTCCATGAATTAAAATATGTCTTAAAATATGGAAGAAGAATCTGATTTGCATTCATGTTCACAAATGATTGACAGTAGACCCTTTGATTGAGTGATTTTTATTAGGAAAAAGGGAAAACAGGTGAGGTTGACACTGAAAATAAACTTACCAGTTTTGCCAGAGATTATACTGCTCTTATATGAATTCCTATTATATAAGATAATCAATGTTTTTTATTAAAACTTTGTACTATATTATATGCTGTATACAAAAGCAGTAGTTAGTCGTTGATTAAGAGAAAAGTTGTAATTGACTGTATTTGCTTTTTTTAAAAAAATATTTATTTAAATTTATTTATTCATTCATTTATTTCATTTTGACCAGAGAGAGACACAGAGAGAAAGAGAAGGAGGGAAAGTGAGAAAGCAAGCCACCAGGTCCAGGACTCGAACCATGGTCAGCCATGTGGAATTGTCCAATGCCTTAACCACCACGCCACCTGCTGGTCCCTGTATTTGCTTTTTATAATAAAATACAGAGTATTTTACTTGATATGAAAAAACTACAAATAGAGTTCAGGCTAAATGCCTTATTTAGGACTGTATTAACAATAAGTTAAAAGCACGATTTTTATTAATTTAGTAGAAGTAAGAAAATAAATGTTCAAGTAACCACAATTCCAGTTTTTCAATGATGTGTTGAGTAATGATATTTGAAGAGTAGTTATTACTTAAAAATTTAATATGACAGTGGTCTTTTGTGTCATATGTATTGCTAGCTATTCGTATCTTTACATAAACATATAAATTTCTGATTTACAGGTTTTTTGCCTTACCGGTTATGTTCCATCAGTTATTCTGTTCACTTATATTGCTTCTTTCACCTTTAAGAAAATTTTAAATACCAAAGAATTTTGGTCATTTATCTATTCTGTGGTAAGTCATATTTTGTATTATTTCAACTTTTCATAGCGGTTATTTAAAAATTATAAACTCTGTCATGATTATACTCACAAATGTTACATAACTCTTACAAGTGCAGATTTTAGATAGAGAGCTGGCAGCCTTCCATGTGTACGTTTGTCTTCTGCATCATTCATGCCATGGAGGGATGATACTGAAAGCGTTTAGCAACTAGTGTTACCAGTGATTGCAGCTACAAACAATTGGTATCAGTGTACTGAGGCTTCCTGGCTAAGTTTCATCTCTGGTTCCAGGTTTTATTAGGTTATGAGCCACTTTCTAAACACTTTGTCACTTGTTTTCTCTCTCTCTTTTTTTTTCTTTAGACAGCTTTGGCTTGTATTGCAGTCACTGAAATAACTTACTTTATGGGATACACGGTTACAGTTGTTCTTCATTATACCTTTTGTATAGCCATTCCAATCTATCCACTTCTAGGTTGCTTGATTTCCTTCATAAAGGTAGGTTGTTAGGAATTTTGGTATTTTGAAAGCACTAATAAATATGCCTATTCTTTGATATCTTATTTCTTATACTTAAAATAGATAGTAAAATGCATAAGGTTAATTGCTACTACTTTATTTAAATATTATTAATGTAACTATTTTAAAATTATTGTGAGATCTTTTTAAGCATTTCATTAAACCGTAGAATAGATTTTCATAGGAAGACTGCGACTGTTGCATACTCTTTGATACCCAAAATGATATATATAATTAGAAGTAATTGTTTTTGGAAGTTTTTCAAGGATTGGATAGTGTATCATACTACAAAGCGATGAAGAAAATAAAATGCACAGATTTTTTCCAAGAAAAGAGAACAAAAAAAAAAATTACTTTTACTAAGCCTGGTAATTGAGAAAAAGTTCTCAATGTGTTTAGAAATGTCCTCACTTTCTCTTTTGTTCTCTGTCTCTCTCTTTCCAGTAAGCATTTGCCCCTCGGGCAAGTTTTTTTAAAAAGCGTTTTAAAATATATTTTAAAAATATTTAAAACACCGAACTAGGCCAGCCGCATAGCGCAACAGTTAGGCATTGTTCATAGGGAGCCAGATTCTTTCAAAACATGGCCAACTGTGGTTTGAATCTTGGACCTGGTGACTTGGAAAAGTCACCAGGCACGTATGCGTGCATACTCAGAGTCCTGACAAGACAGAAAAATGGAGAAGAAAGGATTGTGGTGTGACCATGCCCCATGGGGGGAATTTTCCCTCTTTCTCTCCGGCAAACTCATGCCTCCTCTGGCAATAAGAAAAATTTTTTTTAAAGTAAAATATTGAACATGAAGTAAATATAATGAATTATTGATTTAGAATTGTTGATCAATTCTATTCACAAAAACCCTCTGTGGGTTTTTTTTACTTCAGTTGAATATGTTTAATTTATACATTTTCTCATAGAGATATTTGGGGGCAGGGAAAACTGTCATTTAAGGACAAAGCATACCTTTTTGATGCATAGCTAACTTATATAGAGAGAATATGTTTGTTAAATATATAGTTCATTAATTTTAATCCAAACAGTGCTATGTATCATGGCATATATATTTCAAAAATTTTTATCATAGGTTTCTTGGAAGAACATACGAAGAAGTGGAGACACCTATAATTCATGGGATAGGCTTTTGGTGGCTGTTATAGCGGTAAGAAATAGCAAAAATGTGTTTTTGTGTGTTAGCATGTTCCTTTGGTTGTGTGGTTTTAATTATGTTTCATTTTTATCCTGGTACATAAGAGAGAAGGTGCATAAAAAGTCAAGTGTGTTAATGATAGCTAACTGGCATGTCAGTGGTAATACAGTATACATTTTGAATGTGCCCATTTTAATATACTTAGCTTTTTTATGTATTTAATCTATTTAATTACAGTTCTTATTTCCTTGGAAACAAAAAGTATTTGTATTTGATTGTATCTTATGACCTTGACAATGAATGAACATCACACAGAAAAATATGGGGATTGTTATTAAAAATAATTTGACTTTGTTTTGTATTAAACTTCATGTTTAATTATCTTTATCATGCTGAGCATAAGAAAGTTGCAGTTAATTATTTTGGTGATGGTTAGGAAGGTTACATATGTGGTCTTCTCCTGTCAAAGGGAAAACAATTAATTAATTGAGCTATTGTATATTCATTTTTTAGCCTTACCTGCAGTGTGTATTGTGGATTTTCCTCTTACAGTACTATGAGAAAAAATATGGAGGCAGATCAATAAGAAAGGACCCATTCTTCAGGTCAGTTAATTTCTTTTTAAGTTTTAATTTATTTCATATACTTAAGGAATTGCTCAACCATCTCTATAATATAATTTGAGAACATTTCTAGTACTCCAAAAAGATATTTCTTACTCTTCTTTTTTTAATACAGAGGTTTATTTTTAATATTTTTTTAGTTTGCCACAGGGCATATGTACTCTCCAGAGAGAAACAAACAGAAACGCAGAAAGGAGGAGGAGGGAAAGGAAGAAAGTACCCCCCTCCATGCTGTATAGTCATGCCACAATCCTTTCTTTTTTTTCTTTCCTTTTTTAAGAGAGAGATTTTGCTTGGGGTGCATGTGCTTGCTGGAGAGAGAGACAGATAGTGAGCAATAACCCCCTAGGTTGGATGGCCATGCCGTAATTCCTTCTCTTCCATTCTCCTCTTTGGACTTAGGGCATGTATGCACACACACGCGCCCAGCATGCGTTTTAAGCTACTGGGCCTTGGACTCTAACTTCAATTGACTACATGGGAATCCAATGATGGAACCATTATGCCATCTGCTAGTCCCAATACTTTGTACTACTAACAGTCACTTCTCTTTCTCCCCTCCCATTGCCTTAGCCCTAATCACTAGTTTACATTCTGTGTGTGTCAGATTTACCTGTTTTGAACATTTTATATAATGGAATTATATAATAGATTGTCTTTCTGGCATCTTTTCTTCAGCATAATTTCCCCCTATTTTTGTTTTTTATTAAAAAAATGAATATTAATGTATTCAGTGATAATTTATATTTGCAAATTTTCCATTATATTTACTACCTGTTCAATATTTTACCTTTAAAAAAAATTTCTTATAGCCAGAGGGTGCATGTATTTGCCAGAGGGAGAGGGAGAAAATTCCCTCAGTGGGACATGGTCACACCACAATCCTTTTTTCTATTTTTCTTTCTTATTAAGATTCTGAGCATACTTGTTGACTTTTTCAAGCCGTGGTGAGTGTTTCAAGCCACTATGGCCAGGATTCACAATTGGCTGTTTTAAAAGAATCTGGTTTCCTAGGAGCAGTGCCTAACTGCTATGCTACAGGGCTATCCTGGTTTGATGTTTTAAATATTTTAAAAATATATTTTAAAACATTTTTAAAAAATTGCCAGAGGAGCATGTGCTTATTGGAGAAATACAGAGAGAGAGAGAATGAAAGGGAAAGTGAGGAAGAACTCCCCATGGGTCATGGTCACACCCTAATCCTTCTCCATTTCTTACTCCTTTGGGATTTTGGGTATGCCCATATATGCATCTGGCATGTTTTTCAAGCTTCTCGGTCTAGTACTAAACCAGGCCTTTGGCTGTGTGGCATCTAGCTGCCTTGATCACTATGCTGCCACCGGCTGGCCCAGCTTCTAGCTCTTCGTGCCGTCTCTCTGTTTACTTACATAGCCCCAAACCTTCCATCTCCAGTTATTCACCTCTCAATCTCTTCTTAACTCCCTGCTCTTATCACTTACTGGTATTGTTATTTTGTCTTTCTCTGGTGTAGTAGACTTAATTTAACTAGTCTGCAGCTTTTAGTAAGATTTTTTCCCCTTAATGCTTTTTGCTTGTTCCTTTGTTTTCAATAGTATCATCGCCTATTCGTGTCTCACTCTTCAAAATTTCCTTTGCAAGCACTTCTTCCTCTGTCCACCCTAAAAAATGGTGTTCCTGGAACCAGCAGTTAGTGTAATGGCTATGTTGCTGGACTCCCGTGTAGTTGACCATGGTTTGAGTCCTGGACTTGGTGGGTTAAATTCATGCTGGGCGCATGCACATGCGTGCCCAAGATCCCAAGAGGAGAATGGAGGAAAAGGATTCTGGCATGGCCATCTCCCCTGTGGGTGATTTCTTGCTTTCTGTCTCTCTGCCTCTCTCTGTCTTTCTGGCAAGCACACATGCCCTATAAAAAAGACCTCTCAAAAAAAAAAAAAATGATGTTCCTATGATTCTGACTAAAGCCCTCTACATCACTTTTTGGGCAATTTCATTTAAACCCAAGGTATAAATTATTCAAGGGCAGAGTCTATGTTTTTTCAAAATCTTTCTATATTTTTCTGCGAAATAACACCTGACATATACTAGTCATACATAATACTATGTTGCTGGACTCCCGTGTAGTTGACCATGGTTTGAGTCCTGGACTTGGTGGGTTAAATTCATGCTGGGCGCATGCACATGCGTGCCCAAGATCCCAAGAGGAGAATGGAGGAAAAGGATTCTGGCATGGCCATCTCCCCTGTGGGTGATTTCTTGCTTTCTGTCTCTCTGCCTCTCTCTGTCTTTCTGGCAAGCACACATGCCCTATAAAAAAGACCTCTCAAAAAAAAAAAAAATGATGTTCCTATGATTCTGACTAAAGCCCTCTACATCACTTTTTGGGCAATTTCATTTAAACCCAAGGTATAAATTATTCAAGGGCAGAGTCTATGTTTTTTCAAAATCTTTCTATATTTTTCTGCGAAATAACACCTGACATATACTAGTCATACATAATATTGTTTAATAAATGAATGCATTTAGATGTTATCAACTAAATCCTATCTGTCAACCAGTGAAAAATATCACTTGTGATTCCTCCTTTGAGATATAACGCTATATCTCATGTTAGGGTGATTTTTCAGTCTTTTCTATATGTTGAACCTGAATTTCTTACTGTTTTAATTTGAAAATCTGTTTTTATAAATTCAGGACCTTTTCAACAAAGTCCAAAAATAGGAAATTTCCAGAACCACCAAACAAAGAGGATGAAGATGATGATGTCAGAGCTGAAAGACTAAAGGTCAAAGAGTTGATGAGTTGCCAGTGCTGTGAGGAGGTAATTTACCATTTATGACTGAGTCCTGTTAGATGCGAAAAGATCAGTTCCCAATGTGTAGAAGTAGTCTGAAAAATTCTTCTTTGCATATAAATTAATCCAAAAAATCTTTCTTGGAAAAATATTTTATCTACTTACTTTTTTTTTTTTTGGAGAGGTTTTTGCTACAGGGCGCGTGCATTCGCCAGACAGAGAGACAGAAAGCGAGAAATCACCCCCCAGGGGGGATGGCCATGCCACCGCAATCTCTTCTCCTCCCGGGATCTTGGACGCACACGCGCCCGGCGTGAGTTTAAGGCACCAGGTCCGGGACTCGAACCATGGTCAACTACATGGGAGTCCAGCGACATAGCCGTTATGATAACTGCTGATCCCTCTACTTACTTTTTAATAAGTCATGATAATAGTTATACAGAGTTATTTATTTGTGTAATATCATTTTATTAGCAAATATAGATCTTATTATATGGACCCGAAGTATGCACACCCTGTCATTTCATGATAGGTCTCTGTTTTATAAATCTCTTTTTAAATCCTATTTCCTTTATTAGAAACCAGCCATTATGGTCAGCAATTTGCATAAAGAATATGATGACAAGAAAGAATTTCTTCTTTCAAGGAGAGTAAAGAAAGTGGCAACTAAATACATTTCTTTCTGTGTGAAAAAAGGCTGGTATTTAATTATCTTTTCTTAAATAACTTTTCTGGAAGAGTAATTTCCATTTTTAGCTTGATTTGGATGTGATGATTTTTTTCTTTTAATTTCTTTAGGCGAGATCTTGGGACTGTTGGGTCCTAATGGCGCAGGCAAAAGCACAATTATTAATATTCTGGTTGGTGATATTGAACCAACTTCAGGCCAGGTATGATACATAAGGGTGTTAGATATCAAATATGTTTTACATTTTTAAGATAAATTTTTAAATGGCAAATTTTGTTATAAGGCACTTTCACTGCTTGGGGAGAGACAGATGTTGGGGGGTGGGGAGGAAGTGAGAAAGCACTCCCCGGTGGGAATGGCCATGCCATAGTCCCTTTTCTATTTTGGGGATTTTGAACATGTGCACACACATACCTGGTGTGTTTTTTAAGGTCTAGAACTTGAACCATGCATTGGGCCATGTGAGACTCAGGCACCTTAACCACCATAACACCAGATGACCTGACAAATTAGGACTTTAAATACTCAAGTTATATTTGTTTTTTAATATTTTTTGCATAGCTTGATCAAAATGTGATCTTTGGTATTTGTGAAAATAATGTAAAGGGCAAAAGCTTCATAATCACTCACAGAACACAAGTTCACAGTATTTCTGTTCTTACATATGTGGGTGATTTGCTTACCAGCTTAATGGAACACAGATTTATTAACTTTAGAATATATGGAAGCTAGTGTTGACCATGCTATAAAGTAGTCATTGTGAATAAAATCATGTCATTCTGCATTGTGGGAACTGCCCTGATTCCATTTCCTGCTTTTCTTTCTCTTTCTTACTTCATACCAGCCAAATCATCTCATTGCTTTCCTAAAAAATGCTAGGCACACAGTTTTTTGAGTTTTTGCCTGAGCTATTTCTCATGTTGGCTATGCCTTTTCCCTCTGAAATTCAGATGACTAACTTCACTTAATTTCCTGAGCTCATGTGTCACCTACCAAAGAGGCTCATTTACCATTCTGTTGGGTCATCAGAAAATGTAAAATTTTTACATTTTTCTATGTAAAAATGCATCATGACTTTTCTAATGACCCAATATAATAATTACTATTACAGTTTGCTTTTGACCCAACCCTGCATTATAATCACGTTTTTCTGGCCACGTCACTGAACTCTGACTTCTCTGTGTATGTTGTCATCAAAAAGGAGTAAGAATCTGACCTGATATAACTGGTTGGAGGAAGGGGTTTGTATTAGTCCATTCATGACTTCCTTCACAATATAAACTAACCAAGAGTAGTCACTAAACATTGGTTTGTATTTTTGTAGGTATTTCTAGGAGATTATTCTTCAGATGCAACTGAAGATGATTCTATTAAATGTATGGGTTACTGTCCTCAGATAAACCCACTGTGGCCAGATATTACATTACAGGAACATTTTGAAATTTATGGATCTATAAAAGGAATGAGTACGAGTGACATGAAAGAAGTTATAAGCCGGTAAAATGATTATCTTTAGATTTCTTTTGTTACTGGGAGGAGGATTTACATTTCATATTTTAAAAATTTTATAACAAGTATTTTTGTAGAGAATTTTAGTAGGAAATTGTCATATTTATTAACATAATTTAAAAATTATGGCTATGAAAATAAAAGGCGAGTTTTCTCTTATTACAGGATGAGTGTCTCTATAGATAACATGACATTTAATTGAAAATAAACCATTTTTATGAAACCATGATTTGTTTAAAATGATGTAAATTAGAGATTATTGTTCTTATCTAATTATGGTAAGCTTTGAGTAACTGTTCTGGAGAAAAGCAGTGTCACCAATCATACAATTTGTAATTACATGTATCATGGTACACTCATTTGTATTGTCCATTTTGCAGAATAACAAATGTACTTGATTTAAAAGAACATCTTCAGAAAACTATAAAGAAATTGCCTGCAGGAATTAAGCGAAAGGTAATTTTATTAAACAACAAGTCTGTTTATATTTTATTGATAGTTGAGTGCCTGAAACTATCTTGATAGGATTCCTTATAGTGAAACTTTATTTGTCCACCTCCCCTGTGTTCCTTTCCTTCTAGCTGTGTTTTGCTCTAAGCATGCTGGGGAACCCTCAGGTCACTCTGCTAGATGAACCATCCACAGGTATGGACCCTAAAGCCAAACAGCACATGTGGTGAGTATGACACAAGAAACACATGCAACGCATTGCATTATATTATTCTATTACATGCTATCGCAAAGGAATGGTTTCTTTTATTACAGCTAGTAGTCATATTAGTTATATGTACCTTTATCTTATAAAAATGGTAAAATAGTGATTAAAAACTAAATATTTAGGTTTCTAGAGATCGCCTTAAATTTTTTGCACTTTATCATATTTTCCATGAAGTATTTATAATATTTTATATATTGCAAAACAGGAAGGAATATATAGTTACAAAGAGTTCTACCGTCTGAATGGTTTTCAAAAGTTTTTTTTCCTAGTCATTAATATATAAATGATTTTTTTGATAGTAATAATGTCTTGAATTACTGTTGAAACTCTTTCTAGTAATTTAAAATAGTAATTGGTTGAACAACACGTTGAGCCTTGATTTCCATGAACATAAAGTATAAGTTTGGTTTAGAAGCATGTAAAGGTTTCCTTATCTTTGACTAATTTTATTATAAAACGAGAAAGCATCAACTTTTTAATTCATTGGCTATGATAATTTTAACTCATAAATGTTTGAAATTTCTTTCCATTTGACAAGTTTTAAAACTATGGTAAAATAAATTAGAATAGAAAGTCTTAATAGTGCAGTCTGTAATAGCTAAAGCAGTTAGTTTCTGTAAGTTTTAATTAACCAAATAATTGGATTTTAAAAACCCAATATTTTCATTAACATACAGATGTGTTCCTCTCTTCTGTTTTATAATGTTTTGAAGGCGAGCAATTCGAACTGCTTTTAAAAACAAAAAGCGGGCTGCTATTCTGACCACTCATTATATGGAGGAGGCAGAGGCTGTTTGTGATCGAGTGGCTATCATGGTGTCTGGGCAGTTAAGGTAGATTTAAACAGCATGCCA